TCTGTCATAAACCTTTACTTGGACATTAATGCCTTGGGTAACAGAAAACAGACACAAAAATCACACTCACTAGGTAAGCGTGTGTACTTAGATGAAAGGATTCCACAGTAAAATATTGTTCCAAAATGGAATGCATTCAAATTAACATTTCTTCATTGACTCGGAATGTTTACTTTTGATTTAAATCAGTAAAAATCTTTGTTTGTTATTAGCAGGGAACCCAAATATATAAGGTGGAATTTTTCCTATAATATTTGAATTGTTTCCATGTTGATGTGTTTAGTGGCATTCACTGAGGGAGGAGCTATTCCTTCTCAAAAAACCGAATTAGCTGAAAATGATTTTTACATATTACATTGGTACAAGAAGTTTTTGTTTGTCAACTAGAACCTGGGTTTTCTCAGCTGTGGGACCTTCTTTGTGGAATGCTCTCCCGCAGGAGTTATAGCAGGCATCCTCCCTTCACACATTGAAAACAGGGAAGCTTTAGGAGCCTCATTAAACTGCAGTGCTGTAACAAAAACTCTACCCACGGTCTGGGTTCAATCCCAGGTAGCTGGCTTGAGATTGACTCAGCTTTTCATCTTTCTGAGGCCGGTAAACTGAGTACCTGGCTTGCTGGGGGAGGGCAATAGGCTGTACACCACCCAGAGTAGCGAATGGCTGGAGAATTAATAATTAATTAATTAATTAATTAATAAACCACACCTAGGCATCCAGTCACTCAGAGGAAGCCTGCCTGAAGAGAAAGGTCTTTGCCTGCTTATGAAAGGACAGCAAAGGTGGGGCCAGTCTGGTCTCCTGTGGGAGGGAGTTCCACAGTCTGGGAGTAGTGACGGAGAAGGCTCCCATGTCCCCACCAAATTTACCTGTGAAGGTGAGGGGACCAAGAGGAAGGCTTCTCCTGATGATCTTAACTGTCCAGCGGGCTCATAAAGGGAGACACAGTCCTTCACATCACTTGGACACAAGCCATTTAGGGCTTTATAGGTTAGAATCAGCGCTTTGAGTTCTGTCCAGAAATGGATCGGCAGCCAGATCAGAGCTGCTGTAACCAGGGGGGTGGGGGTGCTGTCATCCCTGTGACCAGCCCCATTCAGCAATCTGTCTGCCGTGTTTTGGACCCACTGAAGTTTCCAAACACTTTCCAGGGGCAGTCCCGCATAAAGAGTGCTACGGTAATCCAGTCAGAATGTAAATAAGGCATGTGTTACTGAGGCCAAGTCAGACCTCTCAAGGGAGAGGCGCAGCTGGCACACTAGTTTTAACTGTGCAAAGCCACTCCAAGCCACCACTGAAACCTGGGCATCCAGGCTCAGAGAGAAATTCATGCGCTCACCCAAGCTGCGCACCTGTGCAACCCCATCCAGCACAGGCTGCATCCTAATTCCTTGATCTGCCTTGTGAATTACCAGGTGCACCTCTGTCTAGTTTGGATTAAGTTTCAGTTTATTCGCCCTCATCCAGTCCATTACTGACACCAGACACTGATTTAGGGCAGAAACAGCTTCCTCGGATTTAGATAGCAAGGGGAGAGAGAGTTGGGTCTCATCTGAGTACTGGTGACAACGAAACCTGAAGCTCTAGAAAAGCAGTGGTTTCATGTAGATGTTAAATAACACAAGAGGCAAAATACAACCTTGAGGGAGCCCACAGGGAGGTCTGGAGCCACTGTAAAACCCTGCCTCCAAGTCCTATCCCATAGAGATGGCAGTAACAGAGAAAGGGTAGAGTATTGTGAGAAAACCAGGAACCTCGGAATGGTGTGAACAGCAGTGGAGCTGGAACATGGAAGGTCTCCAGCCTTCAGTGCATTGGCATTTATCTCCGAATGACCTGGAAGGGTGAAGTCATCAAGGACATTTGGAACAGGAGACAAAGGGCTTGGTTATCTTGCACACAATCCAGGGTGTGGGGTGGATATCGAAAGGCCAAAGGGGGGGGAGAGAGCTTGAAAATGTTCCTTTTCTGAGTTCCAAAAACCCATGCTGGGATTTTGCACTTGTCCTCCAAAAAATGAATATTTCCAAACTCCACAACAAATACCGTGATGCGGTCACTTACCGTACAGTCTCCAGTCAAGGTTTTTGGGCAGGATGATGTCAGAATATAGTTCTAAGGGGAAAGGCTCTCCATTGTTGGGGGTCTTGTCTGGCAGAAGTCCTCTCATGGTAGCCATCTCCTCCGGGGTGCGATCCGCCAGGTGGTTCAGGGCCATCTTGAAGGGCAGGTTGGCTCGATTCTTGGAGTGGACAAACCTAAAAAGAAAAGGGATGCAGTGCAGGTTGAAGATTAGCACATTGCCCTTCAGGTGTAACTGGACTTCATTCTCCCTTGCTGGCTGTCAGAATGGATGCCAGTGATACTGCAACAACATTTAAAGAGTCACAGGTTGCTCATCCTGGGCTAAGAGAGTACAGTATCTCCAAGTAACAACGTTCTGTGTCAATCCCTACAAAACCCAACATCTCTCAAAATTCCCTGAAAGCAACTATGAACAACATCTCTGTGCGTGTTCTGTGCAATCAAGTCAGAACTGACTTATAGCAACCCTCCTAGGGCTTTATTTAAGGACTGGTTTTACCAGTTACACTTTCCCTGTCAGTATCCATGGTTGAGCAGAGATTCGAACCCTGTTATCCACAATCCTAGTTCATCACTCTGTCCACTACATCTCACTGGGAATCCACCTAGCAACACTTGGGCAACTTAAAAAACTGTTCATATCTGCAGGGGCTTTCAGGCTAGTGAAGATGGACCTGCAGAGAAAGAAAAAGATGCTTTGGTATTGAGTTGGGAATTAAAATATGACCAAAACCAAGATACAGCTGGATACGGCCATAACTCCAGTTTGGTACACGACAAGGGCAGAAAAACTCTTTTAGCTTGATGACCAAATTCAGATTACAAAGAGTTCCTTGTGGACTTCCTCTCGGTGTTGGGTGGGCCAAAAAACAACACCAGGGGAGGGGAGTGAAAAATACCAATTTTGTTGCTTAAACTTCAATAACTACATCATGTATAGGCGTGAAAGCTTGACAGCTAAGAATGCTGATGGGGGGACTTGTTTGAAATGTGGTGTTTGAGAAGAGCTTTGTGGTCACCCTGGACTGCTAGAAAGGCCAACAAGTGGGTCCTAGATCCAGTCAAGCCTGAACTATCTCTGGAGGCAAACATGATGAAGCTGAGGTTCTCTTACTTTGGGCCCATCTCTTACTTTGGGAGGATTCTCTGGAAAAGACAATAATTCTGGGAAGGGTGGACGGCAGCAGGATAAGAGGAAGACCCAAATACAAGATGGATTGACTCCTTAAGGCTTGAATCTGCAGATCCTGAGCAGGGCTGTTGAGGACAGGTCATTTTGGAGACTGCTTGTCCACAGGGTCGCCATCAATCAGGCGTGGCTTGATGGCACATTTAGAAGAGGTTGCACATAGGAACAAACTACATCTTAAGAGAGGTATCTCAAACTTTAGGAGTTGGGAGAGGGAACTATACAAAATCTAGCAAAGCGCCAAAGAATGATGTAATGCAGGAGCCCCAGAGGACCAAAATCAGCCTCCACATCTGAGGATTCTCACCCCTGCCACAAATTTTATTGTTTAGTGATTAAGTCGTGTCCGACTCTTTGTGACCCCATGGACCAGAGCACGCCAGGCCCTCCTGTCTTCTACTGCCTCTCGGAGTTGGGTCAGATTCATGTTGGTCACTTCAATGACCCTGTCCAGCCATCTCGTCCTCTGTCATCCCCTTCTCCTCTTGCCTTCACTCTTTCCCAACATCAGGGTCTTTTCCAGGGAGTCTTCTCTTCTCATCAGATGGCCAAAGTATTGGAGCCTCAGCTTCAGGATCTGTCCTTCCAGTGAGCACTCAGGGTTCATTTCCGTCAGAATGGATAGGTTTGTTCTCCTTGCAATCCAGGGGACTCTCAAGAGTCTCCTCCAGCAACACAATTCAAAAGCATCCATTCTTCGGTAGTCAGCCCTCTTTATGGTCCAGCTCTCACGTCCATACATAATGGTACCCGGTTTATTGTGGTTACTCATTCCATTATTTATATATCTCCTGCCTTTAGCTTTGAAGATCAGGATGACACAAAAATACTACCAAGTTCTTTGGAAGGATCAGTGAGAAGATGCTCAGGAACTTCTCTAAACCCTCCCATATTACCTCATGTTGTGAATAAAGGTGTGTGCTCTTTGTTCCATTTCCTTCTCGGAACTATATTCTTTTCGGTACATCTTCCTGTAATAGTGGAAGACTCTATGGCCTCTGTCCTGTGTTCTTGAGACAAAATCTTGCATGGGATTGGCCAGGATAGCATGCTCATCTTCTTGTCCCATAGGCCACTCACAATCCATCTCTGGAAATTATAATGAAGTGAGAACAAGGCTTTCAAGTTGCATTAATGCTTGTGGCACATTGCAATCAAGGAAGTCACAAGAGAGGAAAAAAGAGGAAATAATCAAACACAATATTTCTTGATGCATTTGCATTTCAGACTTTGCATTTCAGATGGTGTACACCTTTGTTTTACTTCCTGAACCTATGCCATCAAGAATTTGTATTTAGGACTACAGTTCCCCAAATTCCCTGCAGAGAATACCTGCAGTCCCAGGAAAGGAGCATTTCCAGTTTCCAGTAAGAAATATGTACCATGGAGCTCAATGGCCTATACTGCCAGGATAGAACGGCTCTTAAGCTGCTTGTAGTAACAACCTGGATATTATCCAATATAATAGATGCTGTCTGGGAGGGGGCTGTATAGATACTATGCACACTAGCAAACTTTAATAGAAACACCCTTCTGATAGGCTCCTCACAAAATCTTGTGGTGATGAATTCCACAACCAAAATATGCCATGGGGTTAAAGATGCCTCTGTCTTTTGTGTTCCTCATGCCCCCAAGAAGCCAAGCCCACTAATATATTTTGCCTCCTGAAGCAAAGATCAAGAAGGAACACCTTCAACTGGGAGCTGAATTTCACAGAGACCCTCACCACCACACGCTAGAAGTCACGTTAGCTTAGGTGGTGCCTAATTGGCTGTGTGTCAGAAAGTTGTGTTGAGGAAAAAAAAGTGTTCTTCAGCACCTTGCTGCTATCTCCTGACATCTACTGCTGGAAGCCACCTACTTCAATAATATCCAGTTTATTGCCATATGTAGGGTGGTATTCCTTTCTGGTTTCAAGCTTTTGAGGAGGACTTGAGTGCCTTTAAAAACACAACATTAAGGCTCCTTTAAAAGGGGGACCTACCCTTTGGCAGGTTCAGCATGCTGGGTGAGAAGCTGTGGGAGAAGCCATGATAATCAACGCTGTACTTGTCATAATGAGAACCCATAAGGTTGTTGACACCCGTCATCTCGTAGTGGACCGGGACTGGGTGGTCTTCGGAAGCAGTTACCCACAGAGTGTAAACGTTTTTCTTGTTGCCCCAGTAGGACACATTCTGCCACACTGCGCAGGCAAGTCCTTTGTAGAACTCCGTCCTTACCAGCTGGAGAGGTGGAGAGAAAAGAGAAAGCTTAGGTGGTTGAAGTGCAGCCAAATTAGAAGAATCAATAAGAGTTCAGGTTCAAACGGGCTGGCCTCTTACTAATCTATGCTGGGCCTGGATTGGACACAAGGCAGAGACCAGCCATTTTGCCTGGAGGGAAGAGAAATACTTCATAGGCTTAAATGCAATGGCTAAGCCCACCTACAAACCCACTATGCCCATGTAGGAGTTCACTTTCCATTCAATTCAATTAGTCTGTTCTGGCTGGGATGAGCAGCTGGGCTTAGTCCTTAGTTGTGATGCTTCCTTTTGTTTTCGGAAGAGAAATACTTCATAGGCTTAAATGCAATGGCTAAGCCCACCTACAGAAGACCCACTACGTCCATGTAGCAGTTCACTTACCACTCAATTCAATCAGCCTGTTCTGGCTGGGATGAGCAACTGGATTTAGTCCTTAGTTGTGATGCTTCCTTTTTTTTCTTTTTTCTTTATTTTATTTATTATAAACATAATAAATACATAATAAATATATACTACAACATAAAATACATACACCAAAATACAAATCAATTGTGTTCCCCACCACCCTTGTCGGGACCTCTTGCAGTAATCCTCTTCTTCTATTGTCTCCTAGGTGTCGCAAAATGTAGCCACGAGAAATGTCTCTTTTAAAAGCACTGGCGCCCTGTTTTCTGGCCTTTTCCAGAATACTTAAGTAGAAGACTCACCTTAAATCCGTCCAAATTAGGGAAGACACTCTGTGTTACGGCAGGTCGTTCTGCAGTGCCATTTATTCGGAAGCACTTTCTCACGTTCGTCTCCGTTTCGGTGGTCTCTGGGGTGACTTTGTAGTTGGCACCCCATGGACCCGCTGTCTCCATCTGGTAGGTGACAACCTGTCCTGAATCAGAATGCAGAAAGGACAGTTTGAGGAAGGGATAAAAAATAATAATGGAATACTCTGTTTTCTTTTTAATTCTGCTTCCAAGGGGAAATTATTCCCTGTTCATGTACAGCAGGACCCCTGTATCCACAGGGGATTGGTTCCAAGACCCCCTCTACAAATACTGAAAAGTGCAGACACTATTATCATACAAAATGCTATATATATATATCAATATATATATATTGATTTGTTTTAATATATATATTGCATGTTGATTTGTTTTAATTAATGCAGTGGTTATTAAACCCTTACAACTGCACAGGTCACTACAAAGAGGTTTTGCAACTTGAAAACTAGGCTTTTAAATGGGTCTTTTTTATAAGTAAAGAGGGATACTGTGAGGACACGCAGGTGCCCCCTCTCAAACTTGGGGAAATTTATGTGCATACCCTTGAGAGGGGACAAGGTGCTTTTTTGACCAAAAACGTTTTTGCTGGAAAAAATGGGTGGCTGGGGATGCCCAGAGATGCTGGCAGCCTCTACAAATGGAGCTGGAGACCACCGGCAGTCCATTGGCTACATTCTACCCACCCAAGTAGTAGGAGATACCAGGAGAAAGACCAAGGAGCCAACTTATGTCAGGATAGTTTGAAAGCATGAAGCGAAGCACGACCTCAAGGAGAGTTTGCTTGGTCAGGAAGGAAGCCCATCAGTCTCACAGGCCCGTCATTCCATCTTGCCTACCATCATAATACTGGATGCGGCTCTTCCTTACAGTCAAGTTGTACCAAGCTTCAAACGGCTCTTCGATCTCGGCAAAGGGTATCCTGAGAGTTCCTGCAAAATGGAAACATGGAGCTGAGGCACATTTTTGAAGACTTCAGTTTGGTTGTGCAGCTTGGTGGACACAGGCAGACTGTCTCCTCCCACACACATTAGCAGGCCCCATTGCATGGCTCTTGTTCATGCAGAGCCAGGAACAGAGGAACAGAGATGTAGGTCTCCTACAAACCGGGGAATATGTGATAGGGTAAACTTGGGGATCATGTTAATTGTCTGGTTTCTGCCCTGCCTGAAGCTGCCTACAGAGACAAGATCGGTCTAATGGACTCAGAGCAGTTACATGTTACAGTGATGCCTTGCAAGACAAAATTAATTTGTTCTGCGAGTCGTGTCGTATTGCAAAAATTTTGTCTTGCAAAGCGCGATACTAATAGTTGTGTGATTTAAAACAAAACAAAAAAGGGAAAAATTCGTCTTGCGAAGCACGGCCATAAGGGAAAAAAATTGTCTTGCAAGTCACCAAGAAAATCACAAAACGCTTTCGCCTTGCAAGTCTTGTGAGGCATTCGTCTTGCGAGGCATCACTGTATATGAGGTGTCCCTTCCATGCATCTGTGTTTTACTAAACTACTGGAAACTTTAAGAATTTCAAAGTAATACCAATGGAAAGGGGAATGAACAGGGGGAAAAAAGAGAGATAAAAAGAAAATAAGCAAGACATCTATGTCATTACCATGCTAGGGTATCAAAAATATACTAGTTCAATCTGCAAATATATATAATTATTATTTATTTCTTCATCTCTTTTCCACAGTCTGAGATAAATACTGCTGTACATGCTGGTCATTTGCATATGAAATTAAGTCATGCCAGGATGTATTTAAAATGGATGTTCTCCCTTTACATTTAGCTAACTTAAGCTGAGGTGTCAATTTTTTTACTGTGACTATTTGCCATATTTGTGTGCAAGCAGAAAAGGGCCTTTTCTTTCAGGCAGGCTTTCCCTGAGTGACAGACTCCATGAGTGGGAGTTGTTAAATGGATGGTTGTACCTGACCGCTTTGAACGTGTTTTTTGGTGTTGCTTTTGTTTACCATTTCTCAGAGTGGTGTTTGTTTGTTATTTTTTTTAATATTTGTATACTTGGTTTTAGCTTTAAATATTGTCTTTTAATGATGTAAGCTGCCTTAGGTCCCATTTTTAAAGAGAAAGGCGGAATAAAAATATTTTAAATAAATAAAATAAATGTAAATAAAAACAGAGCTCTCTAGCAGAGAATCAATAGTACTTTACCAAACTACGCATCTGAGGAAGTGGTAACAGGAATCTATGCCAGTTCATCTGCTGTTATTCTGCTATAACTGCGTGGCATAAATGCACTTAAATCAATATAACCCTTCTGTTGTCCATGCTGCATAGCATGTGCAATGTTCCATGTTTACCTGAGACATGATAAACATCTCCAAATTCAGGCAACTTCCATAAATAATCATCTTCTGATTCTGAAAAGGAGAAAAATAAAAAATCATTCTAAACTATTTTGGCTGGAGGGGAAAATATTAACTTGAAGGTGGGAGATAAATACTGTAACAACTGCACTTATGTATTTTTCTTTAAAGAACCAAAATTAAACCCTGACATCCTTTGAATCCTTACAGGGAGGGGAGGGGCAAACCATCCAGACAGATTGCAACTTCCAGCATTCCTCAACACTGAATGGCAGGTGGCAATCTAATATTACCTGGAGGATTGTGCTTAATTCTAAAGGACTCAAAGAATAACGAGTTTAATCTAGATTACCATTGCATAATAAAGGCACATTGTTGTCAGACTATTTGCACACACAAATGCATGCACAAATGTAACTAACAGCAGTTTTGCTCTCTAGTTTTGTAATTCAGCTCCCAGAAGCTCTAGTTAGAATGGCCAGTGAGGGATTCTGGGCATTATAGTCTGTAATCAAAATGTCTGGAGAATCCAGTTTTCCCTATCCCTTGTGTACAAAATCAGACACCGCTACAGTTGCGCTTGGTACCCTTTTAATGTGATGGGACACAAACCATGAGTTACCCAAACTCATCCCATTGATTTCAATGGGGTTTAAGATAAATTAACTTAATTTCTATCCAGCCTAATTTCAAGGAGCCTTGTGACGCAGTGCTTAACTGTAGTACTACAATCCAAATTCTGTTCATGACCTGGGTTCAGTTCCAGGTAGCTGGCTCGAGCTTTACTCAGCCTTACATCTTTCTGAGGTTGGTAAACTGAATATTCAGCTTGCTGGGGGTGGGTGTCAATATGTAGCCTGCATAATTATATTGTAAACTGCCCAGAGAGTCTTTTATTTATTTATTTATTTAAGCCCTATAGAGTGGTATATAAGCAGCATGCTTTGCTTGTGTATGTGACAGAGAGTTACACTTGCTTTTTTGGCTTAGAATATATTAAATAATCATCTAGTGCAGGCTGCCTCTCTTTCCTTAGGCTGGATATACTTCCAAATGCAGGAAAACAACATTTGCACAATGAGGCTTTGTTGTACGGTGGGTCCAACACTTTGCTTACAGCGGCTACAAGATAAAGATCACAACAAACTTAGTGATAATATGTGGGGGCATATTGTTATGAATTACACATACCCCCAAATTCTTTCCTCGTGGAATTCAAGTTGACATGGGTAGGGAGACTTACTAGAACTCAGAGTTGAAACACAAGATTTGAGACTTTCTGATTAACAGTGTTATCTGCCCACTCCTTCGGAGCTCAGCTGCAATCCGCACAGTAGAAGGGGCACAGATTTTAACTACAACAATATACCCATGTCATGGAAAGTATTTGGCAGTAGCTTCATCATCAGTGAGAAATTAAGACCCATTAGCCTTACAAGAGGGTAATGGAGTTGAAAACCTCTAGAATTAGCTTGTTGTTTTGGATTAACAAGTTCGCTTATATTTTGGAGTCTTCTTTGGGGCTTGGTTGTGGGGACTCTCATGATGAGCACATACACTTCAACATTTACCACCGAACCCCTGGTTGAAAGTCTCCCTTCCAGGACTAAAAACGGCTTAGTTAACATCAGCTAATTTTCCATGTCACTTGTGTTCACCATATGCCCAGGGGGAATCATAAAATATGAATGCAGAAGCATCAGAGAGCATGGTGGCACCATTAAGAAAGGGAAATGATTATGAAATGAACCTTTATAGACCAGAATCTATTTCATCAGAAGCAGAGTCAGTGTCACTTGGCAGAGATACGGATACATAACAGAGAAAAGAAATGTGGGCAGGAACAGACAAATGGCAATGAAACATGAAAGGTACAGCCTGTCACAATTTGGTTCATGTTTAAATATATGCAAAATAAGCATAGTGGACCATTCACAGCTAATTATCCCAGAGTCCATTATTTGTAGTTGGACAAGACCCCATCGTCTCCATTCTTGCCCAAACAGATAGAATCAAACTGAGCTATAGAACCACAATAAACATGATTATATCCAAAAGAAAAAAGGTAAAGCAGTAAATAAAGCACTTCAACAACAGTCTGAATCCTAATAAGAATGCATCCCACCTCCCTTTGTAGCTCTTTCATTAAAAAAAAAAGTAAAGCAGGCTAGAAAGGGTTAGATTGGATGTGTTCATTTTGGTACCTATCGCTTGTACTCTTGTTGCGTGGTTATCTTGAAAATAAAACTTGGAAACAGAATATTTGCATTTCTAACCTGAGATCAATTGGCATCTAAGAAGGGAAGTAAAATCGACATTTGGTTTTACCTGCAAAATGGGGGCACAAAATGGAAAGGATTGCGAACATCCCTTTGAGAGACCCCATCTCTGCACCCTCCTGTATGCTCTGCTTCCCCTCTTCCACACAGCGGAGGGCAATCCCAAGCAATAACGGAGAAAAAAACTGCCTGAGATACCTATAGCCAATAAAAATCCCCAGGTTTTAGGGGTTGTACTATCATTTTTGTGGGTTAAGGTGGGAAGGGTCTGGTCTCCCATTTTCAGTTGACCTTTGGGTGGATTAAAGTTTAGTTTACTTAGGCAACTTGTGTAGACCCTTAGGCATTCGAAATATGCATGGCTTCAAGGAGGGCAAAGTAATGACCTCAAGATTATTTCACTTATATGGTAACACGAAAAGCACAAAGTGGTGGGAGTGATAACAGGGAGTTTTCTTGTCTTGAGAAAGTGTATGAGGGGGGGAGAGGGGGGGACTGATGGTGTGACTACGCTGGAAAGCTGAATCGACTTTGCAATCTGTTTCGTGACTGCATGTGGTTTAGGTGTCCACATGACCCTGGATTATTTCACGGCCAATGCCCACACTGTCCCTCAAGCTGATACAGTTTGACCCACATCCACAGCTCTCTTTCCTTTAATACCACCTTTCCTCATCCTCGGCTCTAATTATATGATCTGCCATCAAGCTACTGGGACTGTTTAAAGAGTTGCATGGCAGTAGGGAAAACGAGAAAGTTCTCCAAAGTTCTCCACAAACATACAAACACATACCATGGAAATACTGTAGTCTGCTAGAGTTCCTCAGAGTTGTTTCGGTTCTGTACTGATGTTTATCTTTTTTTAAAAAAAATCTAGTGCTAAATTAATATAGCAATATAGGGATATGACTATCTAGTGTTAGACTTGATGGTTGGTTTGTTTTTAAGAAATAAACAAAAACGCTTTGGGGCAACCAGGAAAATGACAAGCAGTGGCTGGGCTTCACACTGTCCCAAAACATCATGCCCCAACTTACTAAGTCACCAGAAAATCACCCAAAGTCACACACCCTGGTCCTTTTGTAAAATAAAACAAACAATCACACAGGCAAAACACCAAGTTCTAACTACACCTCACCCTGCTTCCAAGCTCGGATTGAGTGTATTCAAGGTCATTTACTGGCACAGTGGTGCCTCGCTGGACAGTTACCCCATATGACAGTTTTTTCGCTAGACATTGACTTTTTGTGATCGCTACAGCGATTCGCAAAACAGTGATTCCTATGGGGGAATTTCGCTGGACAATGTTTGGTCCCTGCTTCGCAAACCAATTTTCGCTAGATAATGATTTTGACACCTCCCTCCGTGCTAACAAAATGGATGTTTTTGGGACCTAAGCTTCGCAAGATAGCAATTTAAACAGCTGATCAGCGGTTCGCAAAGCGGCTTTCCTATGGCTGATCTTCACTAGACAACGATGATTCTTCCCCACTGGAACGCATTAAACAGGTTTCAATGCATTCCAATGGGGAAATGCTTTTCGCTAGACGATGATTTCACTAAACAGCAATTTCAGTGGAACGGATTATCATCATCTAGTGAGGCATCACTGTATTTAGAAACAGTGCTCCATTAAGTGAAAGACCTAGCAGTTCCTCCTAGCATGAGCTTTGCCTGATCTTCATCACCATCATCTTAGAACTGCTGAGCTGGAAGGGACCCTATGGGTCATCAAGCCAGACCCTGGGGAATTGAACTCTCAATCTCCTGGCTTCGCCTAAACCACTGAGCTATCTCACATTTAATGTGCTTTGTATTGTGTTTGGTCACTGGAAGGTAAACACAGGCTTCATTTGCAAGTCTGATTGCTGAGACATGTTGGTGGAAATCCCAGAGCACCTGCTCTAAATGTATGCTCAGTACATTGTCTAGATTGACCCTCACTCTAACTTACTTTGTAGGATTGTTATGAGGACAAACATGGAGGGAGACTGGAGAATGATGTATAGCATGTTGAGCTCTTTGTAGGAAAGGCGGAACATAAATGTAATAAATAAATCTGAATAAAAAGAAACTTTGGAGGAAAGGCAGGACAGACACATAACCAAGAAACGGAAGCTGTTTGGTAAGGTCTTTGTCCTTGAAGGCAGCTCAACATATTTGGAAGACGTTAAAACAATAACTATCTTTACAAACCATTATTACCGAAGAGTAGTAAGAGCTTCTTACACAAGCACATTGATCTGCTAATAGCTCTAGTGAAATAAGAGGCAGGAGGTCTGGCACACAAGTAACCCCCACCCCACCCCTGTTGCTTGGCAAAATCTTCATTGTCTCTTTGCCTACCTTTAGAAAAGGGTGATATTGCCCGAATAGAAATCAAGCAGAAACAACCAAATTGTAAAAAATAAAAAAGAAAGGTATTGTTTTCATAAAGTAAATTGCTCCAAATAAAAAAAACATTTTTCATACATTTTGCAGAATCAGGAAAATTTTCACACAGGGTATAGATAACGGCCCAGCACCTGTTCTGCATTCTTCTCATTTCCTAGGAGATCTGTTGCCAGTGCTTTGGTATTATGACTAAGAGACAAGGCCATGATACTGGGTGGCTACTGCTTTGGGGTGATGTGAGCGTCACTCTTGGCCTGATTCGTCTTCCTTCCCTTATCTGACCTTGGGGCCCTGCATCTAACAGCCTCTTCTTTTTTAGCTGACGGTTGTACTTTGTTGCTTGTCATTAAAAAAAAATATGAATCTGAGAGTTTTCGTCAACTTGCCCTAGGATAATCAGATACCTTTACCTCTTAAATGAACTCTACTTCTGGTGATGAACAAACTGTGCCACCTTAGCTAACCTGGCTAAAGCTGACAGTAGACGTCTCCTCTGTGAGTTGGTCAATCATCTTTTAAAGCTAACTTTCTCTACACCCTTAGGGAACAAATTCCATATGTTAACTATGAGCCAACTTCAATTTTAGTCCTAGCTAGACAAGACCAGACTTACAGAATTAACATAATACTATTACAATTGACAAGTGTCATTTATTTCAATGGGTCTACCCTACAGTATATGGAACTAGCATTGGATTTAGGCCAATGGTTTCTGTGAAAATGTACTTCTTTTCATTTGCCCTAAATCTATTGGCAATCACTTTTCTGGAGTTTTCCAGAGCTTCATTATTATTTTAATAAAGCTAATTTTCATTTTCCCACTTGTTATGGACAAGTTTGTCTCCCCACCTTTATTTTCCTATGCAGTTGCTTATAATTTTATATTCTTAAATGCTTTTGTTTTAATTTAAGCAAAGGCAGAACACTCAGAATGACGCTGAGGCTCCTTTGAGGCATCAACCTGACCTTGCATCCTTTTTCTGTCAGATAAGTAATAGGTTTTGACACGAGCAAACAAGAAAACACCTAAGAATGCAAGTTGTGTTGTAATATGTAACCAACACCCCACACCTCTTTTTCCTATCTTCTTGAACCATTGAAAGTGCTACGTGCTTTGGGTCAGGTTTGTAATTTGGGTTTCATGTATTCTCTTGACTGGACAAAACTCTTTCTAATGTGATGACTGGGGCAGCCATAACTTAAAACTATGCAAGAGCTTGGCACACATGTGCAGGCAGCTTTACTTTGCTTTTCTAACCTTCTCTCCACTTTGTTATCTAGCTGCCTGCTTCTCTGTCCATTTGTTAAAAGTCCTGCATAAATTTGTTGACACCCCCCCTTGTGTATTGCATCTGTCTTTCTGATCGCACTGGGCCACACAGGCTATAGTGGTTGACTCAAACCACAAAACCGCTTTTCTCCATAACAGTTACAATGCTGTGTTTTCTCCAATGTATCTTTCTTTTGGTTGTTGTGAGTATTTCGGCCTCTTTGGCCGTGTTCTGAAGGTTGTTCTTCCCATGTTTCGCCAGTCTCTGTGGCCAGCATCTTCAGAGGACAGGACTAGCACTCTGTGCTCTGGTGCAGTTTGTTGGGAGTTGAGTATTTATAGCTATGGGATCAGCTTTTGCCCTTTTCAGGAGATGGGTGATTATGGTGATTGGTGTGTTTTTGTTGTGAGTGTATTGTTTTGATAAGGAGGAGAGATTATCTGTCACTGTGACTGATGAATGTCATTAGCTCGTCTTTTGTGTGTAGTGATCACCAGTCCTTGTGGCTGAGTAGAGTTTGTTAACCTTCTGCAGGCTGTATTTTTCAGTGCTGGGAGCCAAGCTTTGTTGAGTTTTAAACTTCTTTTTTGTTGAAGCTCTGCTGGTGCTTGTGGATATCAATGGCTTCCCTGTGCAATCTAATGTAATGATTGCTGGTGTCGTCCAGTATTTCAGTATTTTGAAATAGAATTTCATGTCCAACTTGTTTTAGGGCATGTTCAGCTACTGCTGATTTCTTTTGTTAACTTTTTCACCCTAGAACGCTAACTTTTCCCTGGTCTTGCATTTGCCCAGCCAAAGTGCTGTCTGCATAAGCACAGAGAAGTACTTCCATCACAACTCCCGCTCTTAGGGGTCCAGCCAGGATACTTGACTTGACTGTCATAGTTCTTCTGTTTACATGCATTTTGCACTGATTATCTCCCTTTGCATTCTGCTGATCAGGTTGCCAGATCTCAGGCTGCTAGTTGAAGTCGGGAACTGCAGGGTGTCTTTGGTTCTCAAGGTAGGAAGGCAAATCTCAGGGTGAGCATTCCTTGGCACAAGTGGAGAAAGACCCTTCTGGGCTTGCAATGAGTCTTCACAAGGTGGAGCAGCAGTGTAGGGTCTGGAAAAACACCATGCTATGGTTGGCTACAGCCACACCTATGTGAATCCTCCTGAGAATGGCAGCAATTGATGGAGCTCCTTAACTCATTTTAACACCCATCCACATCTCAAAACAAGGATTCTCTCGTGTGGCCTGGATTGCCAGATTACTGGATCAGTCAGATTTACCAAGACCTTGAGCTCCTTGTATTCATGCCCATCCATGATCAGTTGGCCTAAAAGCTATTCTGGTTCCCCTGCCGACCTCTGCCTGCCTTTTTCATTTAGCCTCTGTGACATCACAAGAGGTTGTTTCATGTTTTAGCTGGAAATCTTGAGAGGTGAAATGCCGCTGACATGGCAGCCTTCTCCGGGAAGCCACTGCATATTCGATAACAATTCAGGGAAGGTAGCAGGTATTTCTATAATGCAGTTGGAAGAAATTCCAGAAGCTTCAGTTTCATATATTTAGTTTGCTAGCCTTATGTTATCCTTCTGTGGCAGATTTGTTGGGCCGTGGAGGAAAGCCAAAGAGGAGGAGAAACCTCCCAACATCTGATTTGCTACTTCCTGGCTGAGAGCTTTAACCAGCCAATAAGACTCGGAACCCCTCTAGACCTTCGATTGCACAGTATTTCTGCTGGTAGTGCCTAGCTGGCTATAGGACAACTCGTGCTTTTGCTGCATCTGAGAACTAGTGTCTCTGATCTGTGACTGTTGCAGAGATGGGGGCTCTGATTTTAATAACAGGGATATGTTTCCTTGGTAAGTCCTGCCTGCCTTTTTTTTTTCCTCTTTGACCATCTTTCAGATTTTTGCCTGAACAAATGTGTGAGGTTCTCCTGCCCGCTTTTTCCTTTTGTAATTGCTAGAGCAATAGACATTTACCCATATTTCCTCTAATCTCAAAGTGAATAACGCTGCAGGATCTGAGAACGGTCAAGCCAAAAAAGGGTGATGCCAGTGGCAATACAGGTGAGTCCAGAAAAGAATATGGAAAGCTTTTGGCTATGCGTACAAAAAGATGCTCATCGTGCATGCCAGAGAATTCAGGGTGATTAAGTGCTGAGGAATCTCTGTGTACAGCACATTCATTTTTATTTACTTAGCGTTTCTGTGACAATTACGCTCTGACCTTTTCTCTTTAATACTATGTGGTGGTGTTTTATTTTTCCATTATTGAACCGTTAGTAAAGTTCTTTCTCTATAGATTCATAGTGGGATAACTATTGTTCTGAATAACAATTTATTTGGGAAATGCATCCTTTACATTAAAGTCATCCAATGTAATCTTAAACAGTGGTAGGTATGTTGATTTAATATAAAATCCAACCTCCATAATGAGCTGGTGCCTACATAATAATAATAATAATGTGCCATGAAATAGCTCTGATTTATGGTGATTCATTCCAGGGTTTTCTAAGTACAGAGTACTCAGAAATGGTTTACCATTTCCTTCTTCTGGGGAAACTCTGGGCCTGTGCAGCTTGCCCATGACTACATAGGCTGGCTCTTTTTCAAGGATAGAGTTCAGTTCCTCACTCTGTCTCCTTGAAAAAGAGCCAACCAACGTATACTAAAAATCATGTGCTGTCAATTCAATTATGGAAACCTTTTCAGGGTTTTCCAGGTAGAGGATATTTATACGTGGTTCACTATTCTCTTCCTTCTCGGCATACCCTCAGCCTTGCCCATGACTACATAGGCTGGCTCTTTTTCAAGGATAGAGTTCAGTTCCTCACTCTGTCTCCTTGAAAAAGAGCCAACCAACGTATACTAAAAATCATGTGCTGTCAATTCAATTATGGAAACCTTTTCAGGGTTTTCCAGGTAGAGGATATTTATACGTGGTTCACTATTCTCTTCCTTCTTGGCATACCCTTAGCCTGTGCGGTTTGCCCAAAGCTACACAGGCTGGCTCTACTCACAGGAGGCACAGTGGGGGAATTGAACTCCGAACCTCTTGCGCCACAGCACAACTTGTACAAAAATGTGCGAAGGCACATAAAAATATACAAGCTTTCAGGAACATCTTCCATTCATCAGGGGAGGGCAGGTGGAATGAGGGCAGGGAGGCTAACCTTAAGCATTCATCAGGGGAGGGCAGGTGGAATGAGGACAGGAAGGGGAAGGCTAACCTTAAGTCCTTCTTATGTATGTGTTGCTCCAAGGCATAATGGAGAAGGAAGGGGGGCAGACAAAGGAATAGGCCTTATCAAGTGATGAAATGGCATTAGGTTCCACCCAGGTGGTAACCCATAGGCTCACTTAGAACTTGGACGCTGGAAACTTTAGGGTCCTCCATTTAAAACAGTATATGTCTCTCTCACAGCAAATTCAAAATTGCATTCAACCAAGGAGGAGGGTGAAAGGCAAAGAATTACCAGCTAGCCTTTCCATTGTCCACAGTGGAGTGGAGTGATAGGTAAAGGAAGCCAATGCAGTCAATTTATATACTGGCCTTTCCATTGTCCACAGTGGAGTGGAGTTTAAGTGATAGGTAAAGGAAACCAATGCAGTCAATTTATATATCTTTACTTGTTTTGCTTGATGATGTCCTCCCGTAGATTCCACCAGCAAACAACTAAACCAGGTGCCCAGACAGTCACAAACAAAAGCAGTGTTAGCTGTGTTGACAAAAAATCTAAATGTCTCTTTTTCCTTGCATTTCAGTGGTGGACTGCACCCATCTTCATACACATTTGCAGCGGCTTCCCAAGCTTGGGGATGTCTATCATATCACAGGTAAAGCGGATTTCTTGGATACGTCAGGGGGCAGTGACTATAGAGAGTAAATTGGGATGGCAATATGTGCCTCTCCGGAGGGAGGTCTGCGAGAAATTTGCTAGACACTTCAAGAAGAAAGTCATTCATATTTTCTTAGCACTTCGTGCCTCAAATGTCATAATGCATGTGTGGGGTATCTAGTCAGCAGGCAGTCTGAGGCGGCAGCAGCAGGGTGAGAAGGCACACACCATCTCAGAAGGTTTGGATTCAAGCTAAAGTCCATGAGACTTTAGCCCAAATCCAAGAGAGAGCGGGAGAGAGATCCCTCTGCCAGTTTTTTTCCAGCAGTGGGAACTGGCCTCAGGTTGGTAGCTTTCATCCCACCTTGTGGTAAGAGACAGGTCATATTCACTTGAATCCAGGGTGAGAAAGTGCTTCGCTGGTACCGTATTTTTCCGTATATAAGACGCCACCATGTATAAAAAGCCCTTCACTTTTCTAACCCAAAATTAAGAAATCTAAGTGGGGCTTAGCAAGGCTGGAGGGGGGGGGGGAAGGGATAAAAATGCTGCAGAATCACTTTGATCCCTGCTTTCCCCTCCACTTGTTTTTGTTCTCTCCTCAGCTTAGTTCCGTGTATAAGACGACCCTTAATTTTTAGTCTAAAGATTTTAGACAAAATGTAGTCTTATACACAGAAAAATACGTTATACAGTATTCTGAATCTAATGGAAATCATTTTTATCGGGTGTTTCCAGAACTGTATCATCATGATCATCATCATCATCATCCAAAAATACCAGACACAATAAAACAAAAAACATTGACTGGTATTATATAACAGATACAAGGTTTAACCAAAAACCTAAGTCACTGTTAAATATCGGCACATACATAAATATGCTGTTCCTAATACAGTATTGCTGTTTTTTGTAATGATGATGATTATGATGATTCCTCTTTTTTCTTCTTCTTCGTTCTCAGCACTGCTGGAGCAGAGGGGTGCTTTCTCTCGCCCCCTCTTATCTACCTAAGCGCCCCTCTCCATCTTATTTTTTCCTTCAGGGATTCTCAAACTGCCTTATGCAGAAATAGAAGAACCTTTTGAAGCCTGGTTCAATGAAACTGGAGGGAAAAGCCGGATCCAGTATTATCACGGTAAGCAACAAGGTGTTTGTGATAGACCAGTGAATCCAAACCTCTGTTTGTTCTAATTTCCAAGGGCCATACCAAGGCAAGTCCATATAGAGATAAGTTCTTTGAAAAATACATAATTTATCACTGTTAAACCTCTTCTCAGAAATTTAAGATTCATAGTAATCACAGCAGTAAGTTTTATGATGATGTTGGTTATGATTATGTTTACATTTTACTCCCCACCCCCAATTCATTCTACCCAACGTTGACCTTTTCTTAAGGCTGTATCTGTGGTAGACGTTATGGAAAATGAAATGGAATTTGATTTTTCTGGAACACCAGCACAATGCGTAATATCAGAGTCTGGAAGCGTTCCTGCTTGTACTATCGCTCTCATAAAAAAAAACCCACCAGTATTGTTACTGTAATTGTTCATTGTTTCTGTTTTAGATGTTTGTGAGCCAGGTAGAACCAAACTGTCCCTGCATTGCAATTATGACAGGATGAGTTTATAATTCTATAAGATTCTGTAGATCGACTTTGCCAATGGTTGATGACATGGAAAGGCATGTTTCACACTAAACTATTGGCTTAAAAAATGACTGCACGTTGTGCCTTGAATCTCTGGTTCTATAAAGGCCAGAGACTTATTTTTTTAGAAATGGAGGCTTCGAAGCCTGGACACTTGTGAGATAAATGGGCAAGCATACCTAAAATCCAGGTGAAACTAGACCAATCAGTTACTCTCCACATTCTTCAGCAAAATATATATATATATATATTATTTCCCATCTCCTACTTTGTTGTTTTTTGTTGTTGCTGTTGCTTACATTTGGGAGACAACTGTTCTCTTTAAAGCAGAACGCATGGCCTCTCTGTAACCCTAAGTGCTCTCTCAAGCACTACCAAGTTGATTTCCCAGCAGAACACATTGGATAGATCATAAATGATTGGCATGTCTTGGGGATTCTGTAACTGAAGTTAAAAGAATTTAACTGTGGAGATGCTGGGAATTTTACTCATCTTACCTGAAAATATATGCAAAACAAAAAGAGCTAGAAACACAGAATTTTGGATGGATATTTTTAATTGTTTATTAGTTTAGTCATGTCCGACTCTTCGTGACCCCATGGACCAGAGCACACCAGGCCCTCCTGTCTTCCACTGCCTCCCGGAGTTGGTCAAATTCATGTTGGTCACTTTGATGACACTGTCCAACCATCTCATCCTCTGTCGTCCCCTTCTCCTCTTGCCTTCACATGTTCCCAACATCAGGGGCTTTTCCAGGGAGTCTTCTCTTCTCATGAGATGGCCGAAGTATTGGAGCCTCAGCCTCAGGATCTGTCCTTCCAGTGAGCACTGCTTGATTTCCTTTAGAATTAATAGGTTTGTTCTCCTTGCAGTCCAGGGGACTCTCAAGAGTCTCCTCCAACACCACAATTCAAAAGCATCAATTCTTCAGCGGTCAGCTTTCTTTATGGTCCAGCTCTCCCTTATGGATATTTTTAATGGCTAAACATAATTAAATGGATGGGTTTTGTCTGGTCATGTGGGCCCGGTGAGTCAGTGACTTTTAGCTCTCTTCCCGAACTGAGAAGGACTGGAAGAAGAAATATGACATTTTGCATGGATAGTAACTTTCCCCCTACTTAAATAACTGGCTAAATAACAGGATGCCATCAAATCAGTTCTGATTTATGGTGTCCCTTTCCAGGGTTTTCTAGCTAGAGAATACATAGATGTGGTTTACCATTCCCTTTCTTCTGGAGACATCCTGGGACTGTGCAGCTTGTTCTCCCAGAGGCACAGTGGGAATCAAACTGCCAATCTCTGGCTTGCCAGCTAGATACCTAACCACTAAGCTTAGCCTTAACAAAAACATTGGAAGAAGAGGAGAGCAGCGCTAGATGAGGAGATGGAATGACTGTAATGGGTTTCTTATGTGGGCAAAGTCACACATGTGTTTGCTACTACCAAATGGAATACCAGCTACAAGACTTTCAAATACAGTATTTGATGTAACCATGGTTGTCTTCTTGCTCCAGGCCAAGTAATCACTTACCAGTTTAGTTTCATGAAGCCTTTTGGAGCCAACTTCAAGATAACACCAGAGACCACAGAAACCAAGGTCAACATCAGGGAGTGCTTCCGGGTCAATGGAACATCAGAAAAACCCATTAAACCTCAGAGTGTCTTTCCAAACTTGACTGATTTCCAGGTGAGTCTCTTGAGCTCCTTCCTCCCTTATCTGTTGTAAATTCAGGCCAGAGTTTAGAAAGTTTCCTTTTTTGGATGGAAAAAAATAATGGATTCTCTTCATTCAGATAAACCACCAAGTCAGGATTTAGGGCTGTAGTTCAGCACAAGTCTGCAACTTGGACAATGGGGAGCAGCATGAAGAAAATATATTTGTAGGCAGTGCTTCTGTAAAGATTCCCATGCAAATTAGTTTTATTTCCAAGCTCTGTTTAGAGTCTCACCACTGTGTAGACCTTTTGGATTTTCTGTTGTATAGAAAAAAGCAATTTATATATTTGTTATCAAATATATTACATGCTGAAGCTGGTATTTCACTGTTTGCTATCCTACTTTTTGCCAAATGTCTTGTTTTATATGGTGTTTGGTGGTGGTTGATTTTGTTTTAATGCTGTTTTATTGTTTTATCTGATAATACTGTCAGATGCATCTTCTTCAAAACATTTACAGTTGTTAAATTGGGAGTTGGTGTGGATGACTAAAAGACCCATAATCCTCTAACCAGCATGACCACGATCATGTTGCCTTATGAGATTCTGGGAGATGTAGTCCAATAATGTAATTTTAATGAGCAGTGAGTTTGAGTAAATGTAGCTAAGATTTCATAAACGATAAAAATGGACAACGCTCAGGTCAAACGCTGATGCCAGTTGCCCTATATTGGGGTGATTGATGTGTGGCCATCCAGATGTGGTGAAGTGCAACTTCAGTTCTCCCTCACAATTGACTGTTGACTGAGAAGACGAGAACTGCAGTCCTGCCACATCTGGAAGGCCACATACATAGCCTGCTTCTGCTTATTCCTAAAAATGGAGAGGCAGCAGTAAACACAGCCTTTAGAACAGCCATTTCATGGGATACCAACATTGCTGTTGAACACTCATTCAAAAGGTCTACACGGTGGTGACTTTCTACCAGAGCTTGCAAATATTTTTTTTAAACTACAGGTCCCAGAATCTCTGAGGTAGTGGCCACTAGCCTTGATGGCTGTGGGACTATGAGAGTTGCAACCCAAAAAATCATCTTTTCAGGGCTATAGATTCTGGGAGATACTATTGCACACGATTGATATTTGTAACCTACCCTCTTCAAGATCTTACTAAAGCTACCAACTCTTCACTCTCCTCTACTTTCCCAATTCCAGCCTGTAGGCTTTGAATACTACAATGGACAGTATTGCACAGTTCTGGAGCGTACATCGTATTGGGGAAAGAAGAAGAACACGTATAAATTGTGGATGGCTGATGCTGTGCCTGTGCATTATGAGATGTGGGGGTACAATACCCTGCTTGGCTCCCACTATGACAAATATGAAATAGACTACACCAGCTTTTCCCACAGCTTCCCAACCAACGTCTTTGATCTACCTCAGGGTATGTGTGAAACAGTGTTGTTTGGTGATGTGATTTAGAGCACTGGATTCCAGCCTCTGTGTACAGATTCTATTAGTAAAATACATGTAACTACTGCCATCAGTTGTTATGTATTCAGTTGCTTTTCACTAAACTGTATGCTTTTCTTCATTCCTCACCGATTCTATTAGTAAAATACATGTAACTACTCCCATTAGTTGTTGTGTATTCAGTTGTTTTTCACTAAACTGTTTTTCACTAAGATCATGGCCACTGGTCCCATCACCTCCTGGGAAATAGAAGGGGAAGATATGGAGGCAGTGTCAAATTTTATCTTCCTGGGCTCCATGATTACTTCAGATGGAGACAGCAGCCCTGAAATTAAAAGGCGCCTTCTTCTTGGGAGGAAAGCGATGACAAATCTGGACAGCATCTTGAAAAGCAGAGACATCACCTTGCCAACAAAAGTCCGAATAGTCAAAGCTATGGTTTTTCCTGTCGTGATGTATGGAAGTGAGAGCTGGACCATAAAGAAAGCAGACCGCCGAAGAATTGATGCCTTTGAATTGTGGTGCTGGAGGAGGCTCTTGAGAATCCCCTGGACTGCAAGGAGAACAAACCTATCAGTTCTAAAGGAAATCAACCCTGAATGCTCACTTGAAGGACAGATCCTGAAGCTGAGGCTCCAGTACTTTGGCCATCTCATGAGAAGAAAAGAGTCCTTGGAAAAAACCTTGATGTTAGGAAGGTGTGATGGCAAGAGGAGAAGGGGACGACCAAGGATGAGATGGCTGGACAGTGTCTGCGAAGCAACCAACATGAACCTGACACAACTCCGGGAGGCAGTAGAAGACAGGAGGGCCTGGCGTGCTCTGGTCCATGGGGTCACGAAGAGTCGGACACGACTAAACGACTAAACACACACACACAAACTGTATGCTCTTCTTCATTCCTCACTGGAGTTGTAGGGATGTGTTTAAGGCTTAAAAACAATTAAAATATCTTTATAACTTAATAATTTATTGTTAGTATCTTGCTCCTCTGTAATGCATGCAGCAAGCAACATAGGACTAAAGAGTGAATTGGTTCTTGGTAATAGCTATCATTTCTGTTTTCCATTTAATAGATCTAATGTGTTCACATTGGCCTGGAGCAGGACCACAGAACTCAATCTTGGCCAATCCCATGCAGGAATTTGTTGGGGGAGCTGGCGATGTGAGCAGAGACCACGAGCATTTGTTCCATCGCTACAAAAAGAAGTTCCGAAAGACATACACAAGTGACAAGGAGATGGAGCACAGGAAACACACTTTCATCCACAACATGAGGTAGAGTGGCAGAAGAGATGAATTATGGGAAGACTTACCACTTGGCCTTATCCTGCCTGAGATGGATCAGCCGGCAACAATGCTGCTGTCTCGTGAACTTCAAATCCTGGAGGTCCATTTCTGCCCAACAAGCCGTTTTTAAAACTTCTCTACTCCTTTCTAGATATATCCATTCCAAGAACCGAGCCAATCTCCCTTACAAGCTGGATGTGAATCATTTGGCGGATCATACCCATGAAGAGATGGCCATGATGAGGGGAAGGTTAAAGACAGGGGAACCCAATAAGGGGTGGCCCTTTCCCTCACAACACTACAATGACCTCACTCTGCCAGAAAGCCTGGATTGGAGGCTTTATGGTGATTATTTTTATTTTATTCATTTATTAGTTATTCTTTTGAACTCGTGGCTCTCCTGCTTCCCCATTTTTCTTCACAACAACCCTGTAGGCTAGATGTATCTGAGAGCAAAGGGCTGTCCAAGGGCACCCCGTGAGCTTCATGGTTCAGTAGGATCAAACCTGGGTTTTACAAGTCCCAGTGTAACACACTAATCCCTACTACACACAAATTCTTAAGCCTTTTAGCCTAGGCTTGGTGGTGTCCTGAACATTCCTGAGAAACAAAGCATCGCTCTGAGTGAAAACAGAAAACAGCATTCCCATTTTGGACTATAGTCCATCATCTTAAGAAATTTTTTAAAAAATTCTTGCTTAGATTTCCACCCAGAAAATGCCCATTTAATGGACAGCTTCTCCCAAATAGCCAGTTGTGTAGCAATAATGTTTGTATCTGTATATGAGTGGAATGTTTGTTTGTTTGTTTGTTTGTTTGTTTGTTTGTTTGTTTAAAAAAAATCTCGGCATATCAGTTTTAGCTGCAGTACAGCGTTTTTAACTACTGCGCCACGAGCCCATTCACCCAATTACTTTTGTCCCCCATTGCTATCTATAACCAAACTGTTGATCCAGAACTTGGATGTTATTTCAGCTCCCAGAATACACACACATAGATACACACACACTTACACAAGGTGTGAGCACCTGGTCTTCGCAAGATGGCATCATACACAGAATCAATAAGTTGCAGATTTATTTCAGAGGGCGTAGCTTTTCTACACAGAAGTTTGAGTGTCTGCTTGCTCTCTTTTAGAATGGCTACTGTCACTACAATCAATCTGAGCTGATGGCAGCACTCTCTGGCTATATCAACGTGCCCTCTGAGAACATCACTGCCCTGAAGGCTGCTCTGTACAAGCATGGCCCAGTGACTGTGAACATTGATGCCTCCCATAAATCCTTTGCTTTCTACTCCAGTGGCATCTACTACGAACCAAACTGTGGTATGTGTCTGTTTTCTTCCCTTAGACCTCATTGGTGATGAGAACTTGGATAAGACAGCACTGACGTAGAGGTAAATTTTGATGTGCATACTCTAACCAGAGATGAGCAGGTTGGAGGGGCAGAGACCATTTTACAGTCTCTGGGGCCCTCCAGGAAGATGCTTCAGGCCCCCCAAAAGTAAAACCAAAGATCGAATCCACGCGACGGAGTGAGCTCCTGTCGCTTGTCCCAGCTCCTGCTAGCCTAGCAGTTCAAAAGCATGTAAAAATGCGAGTAGATAAATAGGTACCACCACGGTGGGAAGGTAATGGCATTCTGTGTCTAAGTCGCACTGGCCACGTGACCATGGAAACTGTTTTCGGACAAACGCTGGCTCTACAGCTTGGAAACGGGGATGAGCACCGCCCCCTAGAATCGGACACGACTGGACTAAATTTCAAGGGGAACCTTTACCTTTACCTAAAACAAGTTGTGCCAGTACACTCTGTTTTAATTGTGCCACTCCATTCCATCTTTTTGAAAGAAAATGAAATAAATGTCAATTTAAGGTGGGTTGGCTCCATATGCCACAAAAACAGCCGTAGGAGCTGTTTTTGTAGCATATGGAGCTAACTACTACAGCATGCTGGCTCTTCAACAAGACTCAATAGCTCAGCCCTTACAATCAACTGACTCCTTTTAAATCTATTTTTAATAGGAAACAAGACCATGGAACTAGACCATGCAGTCCTAGTGGTAGGATATGGAGAGCTCCAGGGAGAAAACTACTGGCTCATCAAGAACTCTTGGTCAACATATTGGGGAAATGATGGCTACATCCTCATGTCCATGAAGGAGAACAACTGTGGAGTGGCTACTATTCCGACCTATCCAGTACTTGCTTAATAGTCAGGAAGAGACTATCAGTCAATGCACAATAAGCCTTCTATGGTCGAGACTTCTCCTGAACTGCAATTTGCTGAAGCATCTTGTTTAGGAATCAGTGACTTGAACACATCTTAGAACACTTATTGCTTTTAGGTACAATTCCAAGAATCCCCTTGGCAGCAGGGCCACTGGCTGTGTTGCCTGGGGGATTCTGGAAGATGTAATCCAAAAAATTATTTTTTCCCCCTAAACTTTCTGTTCCTGGTTTTTAGAAATATTGATGTCACACACATCACAAGATCACAAAGGGGGGAAGTCTTAGAAATGAAGTCTGATGATGAAGGATTTTTTCCTCAACAAAAGCTTTTGAAATAATAAATTTGCAAGTTTTTAAGGTGCTATAGGATTCTGTGTTGTGTTAATCCAGTTCCTGTATTTTCTTTACATATCTTTCCCTTCAGCATTCTGAAACTGATTCATACGGCTGTGTGACTATGCTATATTTTAACCTTCCATCGATCAATCTTTATTTTATGTCACAGACCCAACGAATATCATAACAACTTTTGAAAAATGGTTTAAAACAGTTAAATTGATCACATGGACATGATTTAAAGCAAGCGTTATAAAACAGAGGCGAGGATTGTCTTGCATGCTCAGGAACTTAGCTATTAGCTGTGTTGGACTTATGAATATAAATATTTTAAATACCAATTCCAAAGGCTGACCTGGAAAGTCACTCATTACAGGGTTAAGGAGTCTGGCATACTCATACAAAAAAAGGACATGCTTTCAATTTACTATTATAGGGACAGAGTTGATTTTCATATGGCACACCATAATAGCGCCCATCTGCAGATGGAAGCAGTTAAATCTGGCTCTTCAAAAGATCTGCTGGTATTTTTGGGATGGTCAGATTTTCCAAACAGATTTTCCACTTTGGAGAAATTCAGAATTTCCACTTCCGATGCAGGTCTAAAAAAACAGTAACAATGGTTCTTGAAATGCAAAGGGTGGCGGGAGTAATTTTAGGGAGGCTGAGCAGCCCGCCTTGAGGGGAACAATTAAGAACCGACACCCTTCCAAGCTTGCACGAGTAAGGCGATATCGAACCAGTGAAAAGAAATCACACGAATTGCAAGCTTTGTACACAGCGAGGGGAGAGAGAAAAAGAGAGAGATTCCCCCTCCATGTTTTTACCGGAAGACTTTCGTCACTCTAACACTTTTGCTTCATAGCTCTATGTTTACGTAACCCACTCTTTCCGCTCCACCGCGGACGAGGGACTCGCCGCTACCCCTTTTCCTGTTTTTCTCCACCACACCAAAACCACCCGCCTTCAATGCCTGACTGGCATCGCCACGAACCAATGAAGGGGAAGGTTTCGCCGCAGAGCCCGCCCCCTCCAGGCGGCAAGTGGCGTCGCCCCGAGCCAATCCCCAGCGAGGAGGCCCGGGCGCGCCATCGGGTTGGATCAGGGCCGTGCCTGTCAGCGAGGCCGGCGGGATGGCGGCGCTTTATGCTTGTACCAAGTGCCACCAGCGCTTCCCCTTCGAGGCCCTCAGCCAGGGGCAGCAGCTCTGCAAGGTCAGGGGAGGGGAAGGGAAGGAGCGCGGGCCGGGAGGGTGGGGGTGGGGAGCGCTGCGTGACGGAAGCGTGTCGTGTCATGGAGGTTGTGGGAATGTGAACCCGGGTTCTCCTGCGGGATGGCGGCGCTTTATGCTTGTACCAAGTGCCACCAGCGCTTCCCCTTCGAGGCCCTCAGCCAGGGGCAGCAGCTCTGCAAGGTCAGGGGAGGGGAAGGGAAGGAGCGCGGGCCGGGAGGGTGGGGGTGGGGAGCGCTGCGTGACGGAAGCGTGTCGTGTCATGGAGGTTGTGGGAATGTGAACCCGGGTTCTCCTCCTCCCTTAGGTAGCTTCTTGAGGCGGGGTGGGGAACACTTGGCATCCCATCATCCCCCTATCCTTTCCCCCCCCCNGACCCTTTACCTGGCTGGTTCAAACCCATTGCAGGGCCTCGTCTGCTGAGCCTCCTTAAATCCCATTTTATCATCTTGATTTCATCCTATCGCCTTCTGGTGTGTGGCAGATATTGATCCGAAGCTCGCATCGTTGCCTCCCCTCCTTCAGCCAAACAGTTCCCAGGAGGGTTCGCACAAAAACACCCACAACCACAAAGCACCCACCCCCATCAGAGGCATTAATAAAACCTAAGCCATACGATCCATACCCTGGGTTGGGTCTAAATATATTTATTGGAGGCATTTTCCAAGGGAAAGCTGTGTGTGAGGCTGTTTTACCCTGTGTAGCAAAAATTAAAAATCGTGGTCCTGTAAAGTCTTGACACGTTTATTCCAGTGATTTGAGTGGAGTATGCTTATTAGGCCCTGTATCTTCAGAGAAACAGGTTGTAATCCCTGGAAGATTGTGTTAAAATTAATCTATTGTTTTTTTAATATGTCATAGGGGTTTGTAGTTGTTGTTGCTCTTTTGGCTGTAGATGGAGATGGGAATTTGCATTATATTATGGCAAATTCCCATCTTTACGTATAGCCAAAAGAGCAACAACAACTACATTGTTATATATATATATTGAGCAGTAAAATATACAGTATTGTTCTGTACTGAGTTGAGTAAAGGCGTTCAGCTCCTAGTAGTTAAATTGGTGGTAATTAGGATTGTGGTAGGCATCTTGAGGAGAAAAAAAATTCTGAAAATTAGAGAAGCTCTGTAGGCGACACAAGAATTATGTTGCATTGGAAAGAATTATTAGAATGTTCTACTTTGTGATTTCTTGCATTTAAATACTGCCCACTAACATACCTCACTAAAAGAAAGTGGGCCTTTATTCCAATGCTTGTGCATCGTAATGATAAGTGATTGTTTTTTTACAGCAGGAGTGGGTGACTATGGCCCAGATATTTTTGCCTTGCATCAACCTTAGCCCCATTAAGCCTGTTGTGAGGAGTTAAGACAATTGCTGCTCACAATGTCTAGAGACCTGTAGTTGCTTACCCCAGACTGCGTGGATCATAGTTATGAAGAATAGCCAGAATGGGAGCGTACATTTCATTGTCAGTCTTTAGGAACATAAAAAGCTGTTTGCAAAATGATACATAAGTGCATGATACTGTTCTTTTTCTACTGGAGTTTTAAAATATTTATCTCCTTTCATTTTCAGGAATGTCGGATTGCGCACCCAATTGTTAAATGTACTTATTGTCGAACTGAATTCCAGCAAGAAAGGTAAAGATGCCTGGTTCATACACTAGATTTTCAGGAAAAAATGGGACCCTGTGCTGCTCTTTTTCAGCTGCATTAATAAAGAAATGAGTTCAAGTTGTTGGAGGAACTGTAAAAACATAGGCTGTTATTAGCACATGTGGTGGACATACCTGTGATCCAGATATTCTGGTCCAAGGTTATTACAGAAATAGAATTAATGATAGAGCAAAATGTTATCAGTTCTACAGAATTAGCTCTCGTCCTAGAATGTACCCCTCCCTTCACTCACCCCTATCGCCCGTTTTCGAAATCTAGCTTCCTTTTTTACTTAGGGTGGTGGGGCAGGGTTACACAGAAACTAAGCCATCCCCATCATAAAGTGAGGGGTAACTTTTGGTTAACTCACCAGGCAGTAAAAGCCAATCAAAGCCAACTTATTTCCAATTTAATGTTGGATTTGATTGACTTGGTAAATTTGCAAGCAGATGTTATTCTCAGTTGCAGTCTAGTGTGGCTGATGTCAGAAGTCCATAATACATAAGTAAGTAATAGTGGTACCGTAAGGCATAAATGAATTTAAATCAATAAAAGCCACAAAAATATACTGCATTTCTTGCTGTTCAGTTTATGTAATCTGTAAGATCACAGCATCATATTTCATTATAATCTAATCCTTTCTCTTGTTCTCTTAGCAGAACCAACACAATATGCAAGAAATGTGCTCAGAATGTGAAACTTTATGGGACGGTATGTACCAGAGGACTTATTGCAATTTATCCCCCTTCTGAACCTACATTTCTTTAGTGGTTTGAAGGAGGCACAGGCTGAAAGAAGATAATGATCTATTAGTGGCATTCTTGCCAATTTCTAGGAGACCACAGAGTGTGCATGGAAATTTGTGGGTCTTCTGATATTTCTGTACTCAAAATCCCATGTCTCATCCTGCATTATCAGGGATTTGAGAAATTGTAGGTCTTCTGGAGGGCAACACACTTCCAAAAAGCAACAGGCCTAAGATCTTCACATCTGACCCTCAAATGTTAGATTCATTTCCCCTCTACTCTTACTCTTGGGCCAGAACAATAACTATAATTACTATAATTGCGTGCGATAAAGTCATGGGTAGGACCATACTTCTGCACTATCAGGGGGTAGGTGGGGCTCGTCAGCCTTGGAAGGCAGCCCATCTAGGAGAAGGAAAACTCCGATTTCAGACCTCCACTGCCTTGTGGCTATATCCACTGATGGAAAAGGCTTCAGGAGTTTACCTCAAGGCAAAATCCGGAGCTGAAGTCCCGGAGGCAGTTCGTGATGTTCTGGCAACTCCTGTGACATTACTGGAACCAGTTGTATTGGGTCTTGCGTTTCAGTGATGTGCAGAGGGGGGATTTGCTGCTTGGGTAACAGCCTATCCTCCATATTATTTTACCCAGGCTTTGTGCTCTGGAGAGGACACTGTTCCAAGATCTCTATTCAGAGCATGTTACCATAGTCTTTCGAGACTGAAGGATGCCTACACACACAGTGCCTGCTGCTTATTAAAATCTTCTGCATTGCTAAACTATATGGTTTTTGAGCTAATGTATTTCATTATTGTTAAGGATGATTGTCCACTCAATATACTTCAATACTGATTATTTACACTATAGTGCCTATGCACTATTGTTTTGTAAATCTGAAACACTTTGGGAGTAAATGAGGATCCTTTAAGAAAAAAGAACAATCTACATAAGACTGTAGTTGGCCCAACCCATATAAAAGGATTGTTTTACACAAATGATCAACACAAATATTGAAGGAATTAAAAGTCTGTCACACTCCTCAGTAACTCTCGCAACTTGTCTAATTGGGAGAAGTTATAAAGGACATAATGGGAACATTTGAACCCATGGAAATGGATCCATGTGTACTGAAAATACATTATTAATCTTCTTGCTCTTCCCTTTCTAAGCCGAAACCCTGCCAGTACTGTAACATAATTGCAGCATTTATTGGAAACAAGTGCCAGCGTTGTACAAATTCTGAGAAGAAGTATGGGCCGCCGCATTCCTGTGAACAGTGTAAGCAACAGTGTGCCTTCGACAGGAAAGATGATCGGAAAAAGGTGAGTATGCCTGTATATATATTCCTCACGGGGAACAAAGCTCTTAATTTGTTCACTTATTTGGCTCAGACAAAATCCTTGAGTTTCTCTGGCTTTTCATTTCTAATTAAGATGATACAGTAGGACTGCGGTATCCGCAGGGGATCAGTTCCAACACCCCCCTGCAGATGGCAAAAACACAGACGCATCAAATGCTATATATTGCATGGTCTCTGGCTCCCTTTAATGGCCATTTATGGTAAATATACCCTGGAAATACATATAAATACATACAGTATTTCTGAGGGTTTTTTATTTAGTATTTTAAGGCAGCAGAGAAAAGAATCGGTGGATACTGATCCTGCAGATAGGGAGGTCCTACTCTATATTTTTTTGCTTGGTTTAGTGGAGGTTAGTCAATGATATCCTGCCTTTTTTGTTGTTGTCATTGACTTGTTCTTATTGTATCTTAGGTAGATGGAAAGCTACTTTGCTGGCTTTGCACACTATCCTATAAAAGAGTATTACAGAAGACCAAAGAGCAACGTAAACACTTAAGCACCTCCTCCCGGACAAGCTTGCTAGAGAAGGAACAATATGGCCATCTTAGTAGCAGCAGCCACTACAACAGGTAATTTTGTCTTACTGCTACTGTCTTTCTGCTTTTCACATACATTTTGGATTAAAGAAATACAGAAGATGGATTCAATATCACCCTGTTTCCTCCGGAATCATATTTACATTATTTTTAGGAATATGCCTAAGCTCTTTTTCACAATTCTAAATACTGTTGCAAAATGAAACCTGTTGATAAATTTCTACATACATTTTGTGAAAAAGAGCATGCTTCCTACCAACAATAGGTCTTAATTGTAGCTAGATTAGCATTATATGTGGAACTTAAAATCCCCAAATTTCTACCATCTTATCAATGTCTGTATTTGTTTTCCTTTGCAGCCAGAAAACATTATCTACATCTTCTATTCAGAATGAAATCCCAAAGAAAAAGCCCAAGTTTGATGCCATATCAGCCAATGGAGACAGGTGAGTTAGTTACATTTTGGAAATTGAAGAAGGAGGTCTGATTTTTCTTTCCTTAAAAGGAAAAAAATAGTGCAGTTCTCCAAATGCGCTAAGCATTAAGTCTGTAAGGCTGAAAAAGGAAAGTTTGGATTCTGGAACTGAAGACTTTTTGTGGATCCATCTCATCATTATGCAGAAAATGTTTGAAAGTAGTTTTTGTGTGTATGTGTGTGGTTGTACAGTACAGCTTTAGTATTCCAGGCTCCAGTCTTAGTTCCAAGATAAATAAATAGGTATTAGGAAGAGATAAGTAGAAAAAAAGCTGTTGTGAGACAAGAGCATATAAAAATGGTTTTTCCCCCTCCTTTCATCATGAAAGAAGGAAACCCCACATATCTTTGAAGGTCATTTTCTCTGTTTTCCAGTTGCTATGTGCAAATGTGTTGAGATTTTCCCTCTTAGAAGGGCAAATTAGAGTAGAAGGGTAGGGCTCTCCTTTTCTTATCAAGGAATAATGAGAGAGAGATTGATTTGATGCTCTTGATGTGCCTATTTTCACTGCTCCCTTTCCTCTCTAATTCTCAGCGTTCCTTCCTCACCTGAGATGCTTTGCCCCCCTGTCCAGAGTGCCCCGTCTCTGTTGGCGCATTGGGCTGCTTCCCAACAGTCTCTCGGTGCCCATGATTGTCCCGTTTCTCAAGGCACTGACATCCTGAAGTGAGATCACCTATCATTTTATCCCCCATTTCCTTTCCAACCTCAGGAATTGTTTCATTTGTGGAAGCAATCCATATTGTTGGAGTTTACTCCTTGAGGTCATTATTGTGCCAAGAGTATAGGCCAAGCTGTAGGCTGGAACGTCTGTCATCTCTGATTGCCAATCATGCACTTACTCCACATCATAACTGTTTGCCTCTAATTGTTGTATGTGGTGTCAAATTTAGAAATATCAGTATTCAGAGGTAAAGTTAGGCTGGCTGCTGGTAGCAAATGTGGTTTCTGAATGTGGGCTGTAATGTAGCCAAAGCAATGCCGTACATGCACAAAAGGCAGTATCAGCAGGTTTAGGGGTACTCCACATTTTGCAGAAGTGCAAATAAATTTTAGGGGAGGAATCGGTATATGTGTGTCTATGTGTATCTGTGTATTGTCCAAAAGGCAGTATCAGCAGGTTTAGGGGTATTCCACATTTTACAGAAGTGCAAATAAATTTTAGGGGGAGGCCTCGCTATACGGGGCACCACTGTATATGTGTGTGTATGTGTATCTGTGTATTGTGTGTACTGGGGAGGGGAATTTCTCAAAAATAGTCTAGCAAGGCCTGATATTGTTCACTGGGCTCAGGATATTAATTGAGTCTTCGGCAGGGTGGGGAATGGAATAGTCGAAGCCAAATTATAGAAGAAGGCTGTCACTTCTGTCCTCTGTGAACTTCCAAAGACATGTGGTACTGTGAACCAGATTGCCCTACTTTTCGTACATAAAAACCTCATATATTTTACAGAAAGCAATGTTAAGATGTTTTGTTGGTTGCAGAAGCCCCAGAAAATATCACTTCTCCAAAAGCAGTTGTCTGCACTTAAAGTAAACAGCTGTGCAAGAGGATATTTATGCCAGAGAGCTGGGATGGAAGTGGGTTCAGTCAGAAAAAGTGATGGAAAATGAAATCTCCCACTGTGTTCTTGATCAAAGAATCATAGAATAAAGGAGATTGAAGGAACCTATTCGGCCATTGAGTCAGATCCCCTGCTCAGCGCAAGAATCCAAGTTAAAATATAACTGATAGAAGGTTGTCTAGCTTTCTCTTGAATGCCTCTAATGTTAGAGAGCTCACCACCCCTCAAGGCAATCAGCTCTACTTTTTTGACGTACTGTACTCTTCTTGATAGTTTAGCACTGTGAGATTTGTTTGTTTGTTTGTTTAATTTATACCCCGCCTATCTGGACTACCAGACCACTCTAGGTGGCTTCCAATACAAAATCAAACAATAAAACACAGACAAGAACATGATAATTCAGTAATAGTTACAATGACATAAAATATAGGGGAAAGTAAGAAGAAAAAACATGAGTTGGCTGGAGGGAAGGCCTGGATGAACAACCATGTTTTTAATTGGGTTTTAAAGATGCCCAGCATAGGGGCCGTGCGAATCTCCAGAGGGAGATTGTTCCAGAGGCGAGGAGCCACTGCCGAGAAGGCCCGGTTTCGTGTCTTCTCCTTCCATGCCCCTCTCGGCGTCAGGTTCCTAAGCCTCACCTCCTGACTTGATCCAGGTAGACCTTGGTGGAAGCAGGCGTTCCGCCAAATATCGAGGTCCTAAACCCTTTAGGGCCTTGTAAGTAAGCATTAAAACCTTGAAGTTGACGCGGAAACAAATGGGCAGCCAATGCAATGCGGCCAGCGTTGGAGAAATGTGTTGGTATTTTCTCACTCCGGTAAGGAGTCTGGCCGCCGCATTCTGCACCACCTGAAGTTTCCGCATCAGCCTCAAAGGCAGCCCCACGCAGAGCGGGTTACAGTGGTCTAATCTTGAGATTACGAGCGCATGCACCAAGGTAGTGAGCGCCTCCATGTCGAGGTAGGGTTGCAGCCAGGCAATCCGCCAAAGATGGAAAAAGGTGGTGCGGATTTTGGATGAACACTAAATATTGTCTTTTTCTCTCTGAATTCGGAATAGCTGGCTAACTGGCGGTCTTCCTGTTAAGGCTACCAATCAGCCAGTCATTCTACAAAACAATATCAGGTGGGTCTTGAGTCTGCTTTTACTGTAGACAGGAAACCAGTGCCAGCAAATACTTTGGCCTGGAACAGGTGTTCTTCCCAGAAACCCCACACAATGCAGTGGTGAAGGCTTCTGGGAAATGGAGTCCAAGAACATCTGACTTACTCAAAGTTGGGAACCACTAGTCTAGAGTGATAACCATGCTTGTAGTTCCAGGGTCTATGACCTAACTAAGATTATCTGTTGAGTATAGTCTTTTATCCTCTCTATGTGAGTTAGAATTCTGATTTCTGTGATGAGATTTTTCAGAATGGACTTGATGGCACATAACATCAATATAACTTAAATTTCACCTCCAACCTGTTTGATTTTTGTTTAGTAAGAACTAAACTGTGAACTGTTTTCTGCTAACTTCACTATCTCAGCCTTGTGCACTGTCTAAACCTTCAGAATGTGACAGTGTGTGGGTAGAATTTCTGGATGATGTTATTTGGAATTGAATTCACTTGTTACTAGTGCCTTCTATTGTAGCATCGATTCAATGCCACTGGAGGGCAGGCATAAACCAGTTAATGTAATAGACAGGCTCATAGTTAGTAAGAATGGTTTATGAGAAAGCTGGCTGGAACTAAAAACACTAATATTTTATTTTAAGCAAGTTTATTGTTGTAGCAAATTAAGCCTTTCAGTTAAAATAAGTACATGGAATACAAAATACCTAGTAACAGTTACAGTGAATGAGAATATTATAATACTAAAGCCAAGTCTGATCAGTATTTTATTACTTTTGGCCAAAGGTCTTTGCAAAAGCACTAGAGTTTTTAGCCTGATTTTTAAAGCTCCTGGCACAGATAAATGGGCTGTATTCAGCAGGCAACGTCACAATACAGGTAGAGAAGCCTCAGAACTTTTGGGGTATAATTTTAACAGAATAGTCAGCCATGATCCTTCCAGTTTCCATCCGTAGTAGATGGTGTCTAGATTTACTCCCAGTGTAGTGCACATGATCCTGAAGAGTCAGTTCTAAAGATGGAGGAAGTCATTCTTTTGCTGCTCTGCTGACTCATTAAATTGTTGGACCACATAGTTCTCATTGACATGGTTAGTTTGTGCCTGGGCTGCATAATTTCATGACTCTGTACAAACAGCTTTATAGAAAACTAGATGTTGGCAGAGAAGATATGGCTGTTGGTATATTATGAACTCATTTACAACTAGAGTACAAAATTGGTTTTCTAGATCTTTCATTGTTACATCCAGTGCACTAGTTACAAGCGGAACAATGTCAGTTCTCTTTTGCTGTCATCACTCAATCTCAGTTTTTAAGTATTTGTATTTAGCTATCTTCTCAAATTCCTTCTCTGCAATTCAGCCATTTCCACATCTGCTTTGAAACCTGCTTTCTTTCAACATGTATTTATTTTGATTTATACACCACCCATTTAGTGAACATACCACTACTCTAGGTGTCGTACAAAATATTATTAAAACCATATATAAAATATATAAAACATATTAAAAGAAAACAAACAAACCCTAACCAACACCCATAAAAGCACCTGTCTGGGACATAAGATGGCAGACAACTGGCCAGCATAATTTTACGAAAGGGTGGTGTTTGGAAAGGGTTAGGGTAAAAAGCCAGGTTTAAATTTGCTTGCAGAAGCTCAGGAGGGTGGGGGCCAGTCGCACCTCCACAGGAAGAGAGCTATATCGGATGCATTGTGAGCCAGATGTTTATCACTTTGAATCCAGAAATCCCATAATATTGTAACTTTACTATTTTTGACATCTTTTTCGGTCCCACCAGTTTTCTTACAGATATGCTAATGCTCTTTTGCTACAACTTTATTATGCCTTTCAAAATAATTTGTCTGTGCAAGTCTTCTGCCAGCCACAGATAAGATGGTCCGTAGTTTCTTCGACAGTGGTGCCTCACATTACGAGTGCTCCGTTTGACGACAAAATCGCATAACGATGAAGATTTTGCGATCACAAAAGTGATCGCAAAACGATGTTTCCTATGGGGGAATTTCACTTTGCGATGATCAGTCCCCTGTTTCGCTAACCGATTATCGCAAAGCGATGATTTTCGGCCAGCTGATCGGCGGTTTCAAAATGGCCGCCGGGTGAAAAACATGGCCGCCCGCTGTTTTCTGGCACGGATTCCTCGCTGCACGGGCAGCGAAAATGGCTGCACTATGGAGAATCTTAGCTGGACGGTGAGTTTTAAGCCCCTAGGAATACATTTATTGGGTTTTAATGCATTTCTATGGGCTTTTTAAAATTGCATGATGACATTTTCATTCAACAGCGATTTTTTTTGGAACGAATTAAAGTCGTCATGCAAGGCACCACTGTACTTCTTTATGTGGCTGACATTTTTTCTTTTTATTTCTTTATTTACTTATTTATTCATTTTTATTTTCCCTGAAGGGGAAGGGTTGGCTGAATCCATTGTATGGGAGAGGAACTAAAATGACAGCTATGGAAGAAAGCATGACTATGACGATCCTGCCTGCTAACAGGCAGGGGCAGATACAGTATGGCCCAAATAGCTGGCCATTACAGGAGAGCTTGGGTGGGATATTTGGTACATATTCTGAGCTCTAGCCATTCTTCTCCCCTCCAAACATGTGCAAAGTAACCGGTTCAGTTAGTCCAATCTGCTCCTCCTGGTGTTAAATGCTAGATCAGTTCATAATAAATCACAAATAATCGCCAACTTAATTACAGGAAGCCAGATTTCACTTGATAATCAGTTAAAACTTTGTAACTGAGATTAAAATAAATAATGGTTTGCCATTCCCTTTCTTCTGGGAGCATCCCGGGACTGCAGCTTGCTCAAGACTACACAGGCTGGTTTTTCTCCCAGTGGTACAGTGGAAATTGAACATACAACTCCATTATTCTATAGTTCTGCGATCCAAGCTGCATTTTTCTTATAATGCTTTGAATTAGCCCACAAAATCACCCCCAAATCACTTCCTTGTCTGGCTTGTACCTGTTGTTGTTGTTGCTGCTGCTGTTGTTGTTTTTATGTGCTCTCAATTCAGTTCAGCCTTTTCTAGAGATATACACAGAAGTGGTTTACCAGTCCCTTCTGAAAGCACTTTGAGACTCTACAGCTTGACCAAGGCTACATAGGCAAGTTCTCTTCCCAGGAGGCCCAGCGGGGAATCAAACCCCCATCATCTGGCTCCACAGCCAGATAGCTAACTCACTGAGCTGTGCAGCCAGCCTAATTGTGTCTTCATACAGCTTGGTTCACATATAATTTTATATATATTAAGCTCAGAAGAGGACGCTTGCACAAAATTAAATCTGAGGCCAAAAAGTTGGAGAGTTAATAGATATGTATGTTTCTGATGGCAGAAAATGTTTGAGAACAACCTGATCCCTTCTTTATGCAACTTCTTTTTCCTTTGTATGTATTAATTTTCCTTTGTCTGCTGATTTGGAATATAGCCTCTTTTGTCTGTCCTCAGATGAACCTTTAACATTATTTAGGGGTTTACCTCTTACCAGTTAAACGGTTGTTTGCATTCTCAGCATTAATGTTTACATTGCATTTAACGAGTTGCTGTATCCAGAACCACGTTAGTAGCACCAGTCTCATCCTGAATGTGGCTGAAGTTATTGATCATTAACTTTCCACAGTTACCTTCAGTCCAAGTAAGCAACACTAATGTGGTCTGGATCTAACACATTGTCTTCCTCTGCTCCTTAGATATGGTTTAGGATTGGTCTTTGCCAGGAATGGCAGTGATCCTTTGCCTTTCTGAAGTGTGAATGGAAGGATCATACAGTACTGTGTTTATGAGAGAAACATTTCTCCATGTAGGATTCTAGGCTGAGCCTCGCCAAAAAGCATATGGATCATTTTTCTCACTTGGAATATGCAAAATAAATCCAGTGCCCAGTTTGGTTCAGAATGGGAATAGTCTGCTTGGTCTCCAAATACACAAAGCAACGTATTTCAGAAGTAAAACAGTGGCAAAAGTTTGTATTGCATCAGTAAAGAAAGACACATATGGATAGCTACCATATTTTTTCCGTGTTTAAGACTATACTTTTGTCTAAATTCTTTATACTAAAAATTGAGGGTCTTATACACGGGAGTAAGTGGAGGAGAGAACACAAACAAGTGGAGGGGAAAGCAGGGATCAAAGCTATCCTGCAGTGCTTTGATCCCTTTCCCCCCAGTCTTGCTAAGCCCCATTTAGATTTCCTAATTTTGAATTAGAAAAGTGGGAGGTGTCATACATGGGGGTGTCTTATACACGGGAAAAATACGGTACCTCTTGGACTGCCAGGATTTGCAGTTACCTCTCTTTGGTTGTAAAAAATATTCCTTCCTTAATGCTTTTGCAAAGAAGAAAGATGACAAGAGGTTTAGGAGAGTTGGTTCATTATTTTCTCCCCTCTTCCCAGAATATTCAGTGTCCTTTAAATATGCCTGTAGCTCATTCTTTCGTATTTATTCAGAAATAGGTTTTATCGAGTTTAGCGGTATTAGCGCTCCAGTGCATTTGCCTAGGATTGCAACCATGGGTTGTCAAGATTTCAGCCATTGTGGGGTGCTTTGTTTTTGTTTTCTGTGTTGCTACTAAGAATGTGGATTTATCTGTGAATATTCTCGGCCATCCAGGTGAGGTTATCTGGAAGTTGAGCTATGGCAACTGGACTTCTTTCTTATTAGAGTGAAACGTTTAGTTACTCATCCAAGGAGCTTCTGCAGTCTGAGGAGAGTTGGTAGGCGACCCCTGGTCTGAATAGGCTTATTAGATGGGCAAAGGACCAAAGGGAAGTGGAGCCAACATGGAGGGGGGTCTCCGACTGAAGAAGCTACTTGGATGAATAGCAGAATGTTTCAACCAAATAAGAAGTTCCGTTGCCAGGACTCACCTTCCAGGTAATGTGGATTTATGTTGCAGAAAAGCCAAATATTTTGCAATGCTAATAACTAAGGCTGGGGATTGTCTACTTAGCAGCAGTTGTTTTAATAGGGAAATTTTAAAAGGGTGAGTTGAGTACAATTTAAATTTGTGTTCAAAGTTGTCAAGTGTGCATTATTATTCTAATTTGTGTGAACTGCCTAGACATCAATGGATTGCTGAGATGTAAAATAGTTATGTGAATGAAGATAGCTAGATGATTGGGGGGGGGAGGTTCCCCCCACAAGCCTGATAGTCTGTGGGATAGTTTTTGGTTAATAACATATTGTCCTGTATGACATAGGGGGCCTGCCAACAGTTGTGTATCATGTTCTCTCCTTTAGTTTTTCTCCAGATTTGGCATTGGATTCTCCGGGCACTGATCATTTTGTCATCATAGCCCAGCTGAAGGAGGAAGTGGCAACTCTAAAGAAAATGCTGCACCAGAAGGACCAAATGATATTGGAGAAAGAGAAGAAGGTGGTGCCTTTTGGAGCAGGGGCGTTTTAACTCAAGGCGACTTAATCCACATAGATGCATGAATTCTCTTTCAAACAGGGATTGTTTCAACAGACTAGGAAGGGTTAGACAGGGACTCCGCTCCTTCCCATACTTTCATAACGTCTTGTTCCTCTGAAGGTATAGGAGACTATGAAAGTATGGGAAGAAGCTCATGGTCCTCCTCACCAGCTCCATGTAGCAGAATTGAGGGGAGGGACAACTATGTTGCATTCTGTTTCACACTCATGGCATGGGGAGGAAAGCTCCTTGAGATGAGTACGTATTATGAATACATTCATATTCTGCCTCAAATGACACCATGGCTATTTTGACTTTCATTTTGGATACAGCAGATCTAAACATTCCCATCTTTGGATGCATGCTTTAATGTGGAGAAGGGCCTTGAGTATGAGAGAAGGCTGTACAGCCTTTGTACAGCCACCCAAGGAGCAATGGGCAAAACTGAGACCCCAGGCTAAGGTGCATGCTTCCTCTTCAGAATTCACAGTTACATTGGCAGAAGAAAATTTATAATTTCATCGAGGAAGAAGCACTAGTGAAAGGGCAGACAATCTGTGTCATACACAAGGGGTGTGGCTAAGCTGCAGGAGTGCTGCAAGGGATCATGGGACTGGTAGCATTTTGAGATGGACCCTCAGCAGGGGCCCCAACCTTTTCCCAACAACAGGGCGTGACATGCTTGTGGGGGCATGGCCCATCTGGACACATGCACATTGTGTGCTCGCAGGGGGGAGGCAGGAGATCTGTGTCCATGGCCCAGTCCTGCCTAGGCCGCGGACTGCTGTTGGGTCATGGACCGGGGTTGGGGACCCCTGCTTTACAGAACCTAGTTGTCAGATAGACTGCCAGTCCTGTAACCCCTTGTGCCATCCCTGGAGCTTAGTTAGTCCTTGCTTCAATGCTCCTGTCAAGACCCACATGTAAGTGCTTAAAAAGAAAAACACACACACTCATTGGTTTTCTTGCTTACAGTTCTCAGAATTCTGGCTGGGGGAAGTCTCAAGAGAATTCTGGAGTTGCATTGCAAAAAATATGAAAGGCTTACGCCAGCTAGGAGCTGAAATGACTCAGCTTGAGGTTATGGTGCTCTGGACATATTTTGAGAAAATAGGACTTCCTGGAAAAGGCAATAAACTAGGAAACGCTGAAGACAGTAGGAAAAGTGGAAGACCAAATCAATCCATAAGATGGATTGATTTAGTACAGCCTATAGTTTGCAGGACCAGAGCAGGGCTGTTAGTGACACTCCTTTCTAGATGTTCTTCATTCATAGTCACCATCAGTTGGAGGTGACTCAACATATAACAACAGCTGCAAAGTTTAACCAATGTTGTGTTGTATCTATGCCAGCCTCCAAGGTTCTTTAGCCAATGATTTATCATCCTTCCAGTACTTTCCCCATTTATTTGACCTTGAGTGATCAACTTTAGAATCTGCGTTTTTCATTTCTCATTTCATGACTACTTGGTTTACTGAGTCAACTAAGTAGTAGAAAAGTGAATAAAGACCAAGAAATTCTTAGCAACCCGCAAGAATCCGATCTACAATAAAACAGTGGTAATAAAACACAGCTAATACAAGTGCTCATGCAAGATAAAACTGGTATTTTTTGTAATTTCAATGAGTAACAGTGGACTGTGTATAGTCCTGAAGTAAATATGCATCTAATTGGACAGAGTTAATGAAAGAGGAGGAGGATAAAGAGTAGGAGAAGATTTTGGCTTATTCTACTTTGCTTTAATTAGACACACTCTTGGAACTTTGTGGTTCAGTTGTTCTGATTTTTTTTCTATCGGAGTTGCATTGCAAAAAATATGAAAGGCTTACGCCAGCTAGGAGCTGAAATGACTCAGCTTGAGGTTATGGTGCTCTGGACATATTTTGAGAAAATAGGACTTCCTGGAAAAGGCAATAAACTAGGAAACGCTGAAGACAGTAGGAAAAGTGGAAGACCAAATCAATCCATAAGATGGATTGATTTAGTACAGCCTATAGTTTGCAGGACCAGAGCAGGGCTGTTAGTGACACTCCTTTCTAGATGTTCTTCATTCATAGTCACCATCAGTTGGAGGTGACTCAACATATAACAACAGCTGCAAAGTTTAACCAATGTTGTGTTGTATCTATGCCAGCCTCCAAGGTTCTTTAGCCAATGATTTATCATCCTTCCAGTACTTTCCCCATTTATTTGACCTTGAGTGATCAACTTTAGAATCTGCGTTTTTCATTTCTCATTTCATGACTACTTGGTTTACTGAGTCAACTAAGTAGTAGAAAAGTGAATAAAGACCAAGAAATTCTTAGCAACCCGCAAGAATCCGATCTACAATAAAACAGTGGTAATAAAACACAGCTAATACAAGTGCTCATGCAAGATAAAACTGGTATTTTTTGTAATTTCAATGAGTAACAGTGGACTGTGTATAGTCCTGCAGTAAATATGCATCTAATTGGACAGAGTTAATGAAAGAGGAGGAGGATAAAGAGGAGGTGAAGATTTTGGCTTATTCTACTTTGCTTTAACAACTGAACTTTGTGGTTCAGTTGTTCTGATTTTTTTCTATCATTCATATATTTTTGTCTTGCTCAAAAATTTATTTTACCCAAGACTTCAAATTATGGGATAGTTAATTTTTAATGCTGTTGTTGCCAGATGTTGTGGAATGATGGCTCAGCAGGTCTGGATGTTGAGGGCATAAGAGAATTGGCCAGCATCAACTAATTTCCTGCTTTAGTTATCAAGGAAAATGCATAAGAAGCTAATAATACATTGTACAGTGGTGCCCCGCATAGCGACGTTAAGCCATTCCAGGAAAAACGTCGCTATCCGGAAACGTCGCTATGCGGGGGGGGAACCGCAACGGAGTTTAATGCGTTCCTATGGGGACAAAACTCACCGCTAAGTGGGAATCCTCAATCCGGCCGCCATTTTCGCCGCCTCGGTAAGCGAGGAATCGGCACCAAAATGCTGCGGGCAGCCATTTTCTTCTTCTGGCGGCCATTTTGGAACCGCCGATCAGCTGTTCCAAAACATCGCAATGCGAAGATCGGTAAGCGAAACGCTTACCAATCATCGCAATGCGATGTTTACCCTATTCAGAACATCACAATGCGATCGGTTTTTCAATCGCAAAAACGGTGCGCTCGTTAAGTGAGGCACCACTGTATATTTTTTTCTAGGGAGGCCCTGTAACTTACTTAACTGCACTAAATTTCTACTATGATGTCTTCCATTATAGGATACATACTCAGTGTAAGAAAATATAAACATCTTCCATTTCCTATTTATGTGTTCTACAGATAACTGAACTAAAGGCTGATCTGCAGTATCAGGAGTCCCAGATGAGGGTTAAAATGAATCAGATGGAGAAGACTCACAAGGAGGTCACGGAACAATTGCAGGTGATTTTATTTAACTACAGTATTCATGGAACTAGGTGGTTCTTATATATTGGGACAAGTCCATAAGCTTTACTTGTTACATCTAGTAATAATATCCTTTGGATATACCAGATTGCTTTCTACTGAGGCAGACTGTTGATTTATCCTAATCTATTGGTCTTTTGAGAGTTCCTTCTTTGGCAGTATTCAAAGAAAATTTTATTCCAGGAACATCATGGTGAGCAACATATTCATGTGTGAATACGTCCCATGGAATTTACCTGTAATCTCAAGCTATGCCAATGGAAGAATGTTCATGCTTCTCTAAGTAAATGTGCATTGTCATTTGAGGGAGCTGCTACACTAGAATAAAAAGCATAGAAAAGTTCCTAGTAGTCAACTGGTAGACTAGGGACTAGTAATAGATTCTAGGATCTCATTTGGAGATTCCAGAGAACCGATCCTAGACCTTGTGCACTCAAAGCATGTACTTAGCCATCACAGAGCTCTGTAGCCTTTCTGCAAGAGTCTTCATGATGCTGAGTAATGTTACTTAAATCTTTGGCAGCATGCTGTGGAACTATGTGTGCAAAGAACCTGAAGCACGTGATCTGAAGAAATCACCTTCCTGATCGTATGTGCTTTCCTTGTTTGGCTGCAGAACTCTGCTAGAAAGCATATGGGCAATGTCTGTTGGAAGTATCAGGAGGCAAAAAGGTGTTTAAATATGATCCATAGTCACTAGGGGTAAGAATTCATTGCTTTCCCCATTACCAATGGCATAACTGGAATTTGGCAAAACCATAATATCACAGGATGAATTGGCCTGTGCAATTTACATACATCACAGAACGTAGTGTTTTTTCTCTCAGTAGATTTTTATTTGTATTTTTCAGCAGAGTACACAGGACATTGCCTGCAGTATATTCTTTCTTTCCCTGTTCTGGATTCTGTGTAGTCACCAACATATACGGTATGACTACAGTGCACATCTTCTCTGTTTTGTTTTTCTAACAGGCCAAGAACAGAGAGCTTCTGAAACAAGCTGCAACCTTATCAAAAGGCAAAAAGACAGAGAAGCCAGGGGCAATAACTTCCCCTTAAACATAGTATGGGAACTTCTTCTATCCTGCCCCCCCCCCGCAGAAACTTTTGGCTGCTAACCTCTTGGAATCTTTCTGGGACCTCACTATGATTGGTATTGTTATGGACACAAGGGAAACCTCTGTATGTGACCACTCAATAGCATGATAGAGTGTTGGGTTTTAATACTTTGTTCTCCTGTCATCATAAAATGACGAGGTGGGAAGAGGCATCTCTTCCACCACTTCTCATCCTTCCAAGTCCATGAACAAACACTTTCAGTGGTAAGATAGTCTTACTTAAGTTTATTATCTAGCTGTAGTTGGTTGAGACAGGAGGACAGGGTTGGAATCGGATCCTCCCCAGACTATGTGGCTTTCTAAATAGTCATATAGTGGTGGGAACGAATCATGATTCTCTGTGTTTACCGTTTTAAAAGGAAATCTTTCACTTTCCTTACTGAAAATAATTTTATGTGTTTCTGTGTTTGGAACACCATGAGGCCATTTGTCAAGTATTTCTCCAAGGCCTGTAAAAACGGGATAGAGTTTAAATTAACATCTGCCAGAATTTTAGAAGTTTAAAGGTCTCTTGGCAGGACAGTTTGGAAGAAAGTAAGGATCACTAACTGATTTTACTTAATCTGGTTTATTTATCTTGATCACTAAAACAGCCATCTTGGATCTTTTTGCTCTTTTTAGGATGATGGGAGAAAAGAGAATGTATGAGCCTCGCTCTTAAATGTAGGATACATTCAGTTGCAAAAAGATGTGAGTGCAGCATTTTAATGAGCAAGCGCTATGATTTTCCTTGAATTATAAACTTATTATACAACAGTAAAAAAACTTTTTGGAGGGCTAGGAAAGGGTGGATGGATATTGTCTGAAATAGAATAGGAAAAGGCAAGTGGTTGAACCACATCGGAACAGAGAATCTAAGCCCCTGACCTTGTCTTAATTGATTGAAAGTTTTAAAAAATAGCAACTCTGCTGTTTTTGAGCCTTGCCCTGGCTTAAGAGACAGAGAAGGCCAACTGCAGACTCATATTTAATATTGCAAATGGATATATAAAACTGAACTTTTTATAAGATAAGGGACAACTGCTGCCACTGAATTTTTATATATTTTTAAACTTTATTAAGTCGTATCTTCTTCAATTGCACTTTGAAGATCTTAAAATGTGGAAGAAAAAAAATCTGCAATTACTTGCTGTGGGTTGTTAATTTTTTAACCTTGCTTTTGCTTTTTTAAAAAAAACAAAGACTTGTTAAGGATTCATCACACTGGAAAACATGTAACAGAAGAAGCCTAATTTTTATACTTAAAATATTTTTAGGGAAAAGATATTCATAGAAATTTAACTGAAATTGGTTTTTAGCTTCTTCAGGTGACAAAAAAGTAAAGGTAAGGGAAATTATTTCGTTGTAACTAGAGCTTTTTCTTAATTTTATTACAATTTGATCATGCATTAAAGTGGATTATTTATAGTGAGACTGTTTTTCTTCTACATTTGTAACATTAATGGTGTTTAAACAGATGCATTGCTTTGTACAAATGAATTGTAAAAATAATGTTTTGGGGAGGGTGAAATCTTTGAGTGGGATCAACTTTTGATATTTTGTGTATGCCTTTCTTGATTTGAGTCAGCAAAAAGAATCCATTTTTCCTTGGCTTGGCCTTATCCTAGCACAGTCCTTTGGCATGAAGCAAAAATTGCTTTTGGTGCTACTGTGGAATTTGATGTATGTGGAGGATTAAATGGTATTTTCTGTAATGAAGCCTTTTTTAAAATGTGTCTCATTCAGTCTTACCAGATAACTTCAACTGTTATTGCTCTTGAATTGCTTGTTTTCCAAAAAAAATCTCCCTGAGGATTTTGTGCTACTAAATAGTAACTAGTTACAATTTTACTGAAGTGTTTCAGAGGCTTACAAAAACATGAAGTGAAAGACACTCCTTTCTCATTCTCTGTGAATTATAAAATAGTAAATGAACATTAAGTTGACACTAATGATTAGTGGGGTTTGGTGTTCAAAGTGCCCAACCATATTGTCTGTTAATTATGTGTTATTCTCTTCAATTATATTAGATGTTTGAAATAGGAGAATTGGCAACCTTAATGAAACTTTTTTGAACACCTGAAAATGTTGAGGTACATGAATAAGTGAGAGTCACCTAAATATATCCAGACATCTCAGCCAACATTTGCTTGTGAATATTTTGGACATTCAGTTTTGATATCACTCAGAATCTTGCAAAAAAACAAATCTAGATTACAGCAGAGCAACATCCTAGAGAGTATATTGTCTGAATAACATTTGGAATGATAGAATTGTGGGGTCACTGAATCATAATACTCTGAAGCAAGAAATTGACTGCTAAAGCATTGCTTTTTTATTTATTCTTTTAAAAAACATGAAACAAAAATATGCAAACCTAAAATCATCTAATAACACAAAACAATACAATTAATTATTCAAACTGTGCCCCTCTCCACCAGAACCATTTGGAGATATAACCAGCTTTTCCAATTTTCCTAAAGCATTGTTGACAAACAGCAATCTAACCTCTTACATACTTTGTTTTCTTATCTGTCACTTTGGGTCCTACTTTCTGGAGCCACAGAAAATAAGCTTCTTTGCCTTGTGTATGAAACTTCTTCACATTTTTCAAGATGGTGATTGTATCACTTCTCAGTCTTCTCCAGATGTTTGAGCATCTTGGTCATCCTCCTCTGATTTGATAATCTTCTCAAACTGTGGCACCAAAACTGGACGTAATATTCCAGATGAGATCTGTCTAAACCAGAATAATCTGTATAGTGTAAATATTTTGAAGCTGGGAATTTGAGTGTCTGATTTTTCCCCCATAGGATACCTGTTCTTAAATAGGAATTGAGTCGAAGAGAGTCCTGAGAAAAAACAGAAAGTTTTGAGGCAATTTATCACAAATGATACGAGAGTGGGGGACAGGGTGTTTAAATCACTGTCCTCGGGTACAAGGATCCAGATCAGACCATCCACGTGATCTACCATTCACCCAGTTCCTAATGCAGTAGGTGGTGCCCATCTGGTGCTAAAAAATTTCAACCACATCCAGCATGGTATTAAGTATTCCAGGGGAGGGGGGGCAGTCAGAAGTTAGAAAGTTGCTTTCTTAAAGTAAGTGTTGTACAACAGAAAGCAACTTTCTAGCTTCTGCCTCCCCACCTTGGGTCCCTTCTGTAAACAGTAAACAAACAGGCGCAGTGCAATGGGTTTAAACAATAAGCCATTGTTACATGTTGCAATGCTGAAAATATAAATTATTGCATTAGTAGTTCTACTTGTTAATTTCAGTTACTAAAATCAAACTTTAGGGATAATAAGGAAATAGCATAAAAATGGAACAAATCCTGTCACAGTGCAATTTAAAAGTAATTTTAGAAGTAATTAGAAAATATAACTCATTGCACCAATTAAGAACTTTGATCCTAGACTACTTCTGAAATGTAACTTTGCCATTTAAATAGCAGGTTAAAAACATCTGGGGAGAAAAAGGGTTTTCCTGCCCCTGGACTAAAAATGCATTGTAAATCAAGTTTGCTGGGCTACCACTTGTGCATATGTGTTAGTCCTAAATATGACCCAGAATTTATTTTAAAATGTATTAGTTTTACTCCTCATTGTATGTTTTTCCAGTGTTTAAGGCAGCAAACGCATACAGCTCACTTTCTCCCATTTCATCCCCACAACAGCCCTGTGATACAGGTCTGGCTGAGATACTTTGCCAAAGTCTCTGAAGGCCTTCTGCGGTTTACTGACGAACTTGGATCTTCCAGTTCCTCATCCCACACTTTACCCACCATGCCACATTGGCTTGCTTTATCATCTAATTTCTTTTACTGCAGTACATGGGTTTAAGGAGACATGGAATTATGTATTTCTGTTTGCATGTGTGCATGTTACTTGCTGTAATCATGTAACACAGCAGCAAACCTTTGAGGAACACTTGCATCTTGTCTCCAACGAGATTTCATGCCACAACTTCCCATCTGGGTAAAGAAAACAATAACTCCTAGAATGTAACAGGACTCCTCAATCCAAGCTATGGATTCCTTTACCTTTCACAGTATTCAGTACTGATTCTGTTTTCTCCCACTGCAGAAATAAACAGCTAAGGATCTCTTTTCCATGGGGGCTGGTAACAAAAGCCATGGCAATTACATGTGTGCACTCATATTAATACCAGTTTGGGGAGTTGTCTTCTAGAAACAGGGATGTGTTTGCTAGTACTGGGCTTGTACTTCTTATAAGAAGTAATTGTGAAACTTCCAAGACCTTCAAGTTTTCAGAGGCGGGAGAGCATTGCATTTAATTCAGGAACAACCAGTGCCTATCCTTTTACCAAAAATAGACCCATCGTTGGAAAACACAAAGCAAAGCAAAAAATCTTCGAGCTCCACCAGATGCTAGCATTGCTGCTGAGGATCTCCAGAAACTGGCATTTTAAGAATTCTCACAACTACTGTGAGCTACCCAAGTAAAGTTCCAGGTTAAGCAGAATGAGGACACGTTTAAAGGCAGCAAAAATAGCAAGAGGAAATAAAAGATCTTCTCACACATTTTCTAAACCAATCGTTTTCAATGTTACTTATGCTAGTCCTTACTGTGTCAAAGAGCCTACAATAATAGTGTGAAAGAGGAATAGGAAAGAGAGAGGAAGATGAGAGGGAGCCGTTCCCTGAAATAGAAGCGTCGAAAGAAAGAAGGAGAGAGAAAAGAAAAGGAAGGATTGGTTGTAAAAGAAATTGAAGGGAAGGAATTGAAGGATAAAGAAGTAAAAGTCTGTTTGGTAGAGGAAGGAAAAGGGAAAGAGGAGGAGGAGTTGACTCTGTCAGGGTGGGAGGAGGATATCAAAGATCAGAGGAGAGGGGGAGTTTTCAGTATACCAGATGAAAGAAGATGAAAGAAGGGAAAAAGAGAACGGGCTTGGATATGGAAGAACGGTTCTTACCGGATCTCGATAAAAAAGAAAAGAGGGTTACTGTGACAGAAACTCAAGAATGGATAGTGGTGGTTTTGCCCTCGGGGGCAAAGTCATTGGAGGAGGGTGATCAGACCAGATTCAACCTTCAATCAGCCGCCCTGCAAGGGAGACTGGATCAAGAATGGACAGTGGTGGTTTTCCCTCGGGGGGCAAGGTCACTGGAAGAGGGTGATCAGACCAGATCCGACCTTCAGTCAGCCGCCCTGCGAGGGAGACTGGGCCAGGCATCCTTGTTGCAGCAGGATATGTGCAGTGAGGAGCGCTCTGCTGATGAAGCCCACAGACATAGAACGGTTTGGACAAGCCTCTCAATAAACTCCTAAGTTGCAGTTTGGATTTGTACCTTCTCCCTGGGAACAATTACCAGACCTTAGTTGTTTTGATCCTGTTGAAGTCATCGTTGAATCACCGAATGTTAGTACAAATAAATCTGTTAACCATTCAAACGGATCTCCGTGGTTATTTCCCGCGAAAAAAGAGGAACTGCTTCAGTCTCCCAACGAACTCGATCACAAATAGGAACAAAAAGCTCACTTGTGCTTCAGTCTCCTAACGAACTCAATCACAAAAAGGAACAAAAAGCTCACTTTTATCTGAGAAGAACATTTAAATGTTTACAGCTATGGTGTTCATCGTGATTGTATTTATGCTGGATGACAGCAGGTTCCTGGGGGAACCTGGAAACTACAGACCAGTCAGCCTGACATCAATCCCAGGAAAAATACTGGAGCAGATTATGAAGTTGTCACTCTGCAACCACTTTGAAAACAATGCAGTAATAAGTAGAAGCCATCATAGACTTGTTAAGAAAAATCCTGCCAAACTAATCTTATCTCATATTTCGATTAATGAAGTTGTCACTCTGCAACCACTTTGAAAACAATGCAGTAATAAGTAGAAGCCATCATAGACTTGTTAAGAAAAATCCTGCCAAACTAATCTCATATTTCGGTTAAATAACCTCCATGGTAGATGGTGGGAATGCTGTATACATAATATATCCTGACTTCAGCAAAGCTTTTGAACAAAGTTCCTCATGATATTCTGATTGGTATACTGGTGTGGGTTTTTTGACAAAGTGCCTTATGATATTCTGATCGGTATACTGGTGTGGGTTGGATAGAACAACCGGTAGGTAGATACACCGTTGATTAGAGAATCATACTCAAGAGAGTGCTTATGTGCACACTCTCTTGAGTATGATTACAGAACCATACTCAAGAGAGTGCTCCTTCTCAAACTGGGAGGGGGTAACAAGTGGGATACCACAAGACTCAGTCCTGAGCCCAGTGCACTTTTATTAATGACTTGGATGAGGAGATGCAGGAAATGCTTATCAAAATTTGCAGATGGCACAAAATTGGGTGGAATAGCTTGTACCCTGGAAGACAGAAACGAAATTTGAAAAGATCTTGATGGGCTTGAACACTGGGTTGAAAACAACAATGAAATTTAACAGAGATAAGTGCAATATTCTGCACTCATTGGAGGGGGAAAACAAACACACAGTTACATGTTTTTAAGCTCAGTAGGTCACAAGCTGAATATGAGCCAGCAGTGTGGTATGGCTGCAAAAAAGGCCAGTGCTATTTTAGGCTGCATTAACAGAAGTATAGTCTTCGAATCCTGTGAGGTACTAGTTACCATCTATTCAGTAGAAGTATAGTCTTCAAATCCTATGAGGTACCAGTTGCCATCTGTTCAGCACTGGTTAGGGCTCCTCTCGAGTACTGTGTCCAGTTCTGGACACTGCACTTGAACAAGGATGCCAACAAACGGAAATGAGTTTAGAGGAGGGCAATAAATCCCCCTGGTTCTGGACATTGCACTTGAACAAGGATGCCAACAAACTGGAATGAGTTTAGAGAAGGGCAATAAATCCCCCTTGATCAGGGGACTGGAAACCAAACCCTGTGAGGAAAGACTGAAAGAACTAGGTACATTTAGCCTTGAGAAAAGATGACTGAGGAGTAATATAGCAGTGTTTAAATACTGTACCCGGAAAAGGAGAGGCAGGAACTGTTCTTAATCATTCCAGAGTGTAGGGCTCACATTCTAGGAAGCCAGATTTCAGTTGAATGTCAGGAAAAAAAACTTACTAACTGTTTGAGTAGTATGAGAATAGAATGAATTACCTCGGGAACTGGTGAGCTCTCCAGCTCTGGAGGCATTAGAAAATTGGACAACCATCTGTCAGATATACAGTATTTGGATTTCAATCCCTGCATTGAGAAGATGGTTGATGGCCTTACAGGTACCTTCCAACTTTTATTGTGCTGTGATTAACTTAAGAGCCATTTCACAGTACCGTAGAATTGATGGTTTCAGAGGGTGGTGGACTCTTCACTGGAGATTTTTATGCAGAAAGGGTCTGGACTCAATGGTCATTGGGGTCACCTCCAGGTCTATAGTTTTATGATGTTTCTTATGGTGACCCTAACAGGGTTTTTGATATATCTGTGATGTTCAAAGGTTAATGTATCATTGCCCCTTCTTAGCCAGTGCTCATGGCTAAGGCAGAATTTGAGCTGCACTCTCCGGAATCCCAGTTTGTCTGCTGAAGAAAGTGGCATTCATAGCACGGTACTACTGGGACTGTGTCTGTGTGTAAATATGTTATTTGCTTTGGAATTCCTCCAAGGCATTGCAAGGACTAGCCGCATTCGGAACGACCCAGACAAATAACACCCAACCAAATGTTCCGCCCCCTTTCCGGGGGATTTCGAGACAAACAAGCGAGGCGAAAACTCCATTTCCCAGGATCCCGTGCCTGTTTTCCCCGCTCTCTATTGGTGCAGAAGTCAGACGGGGAAGCCTAAATGCAGAGAAAGGCCCTCCTCCTCAGAAGACATTGGCTTTCGAGTTTGGGGGGGGGGGTTGATACCTTTGCGTGCTCTTGTCACCGTCCCACCTCCTTGCTCGTCGTATGTCATCAGCAGCTGTTGAGAAGGTTGGACCTTCGCTGTTCGGAAATGCTCCCGAGAGGGGCTGCCCGGGGCAGTTCGCCTGCTGCGCGCTTGAGGGTTCTAGAACCCTGATGCCCCGGGACGTTCTAGAACGCTGCGGGTTTCGAACGTTCTGCGCTGGAATCCTCGAACGTTCTGCGCCGGACTTGCTCTAATATCTTGGGACTCTTTGGCCCCTTCCGTGGGGGTCCCGTCGGGCCGCGCTGAAATTCTTCGATCTCTGTGCGGTTGTCCGCCTTCACTCGACACCACCATGATCGTGGCAGACCCGGAGAGTTGTGAAGCCGCCGAAGTCCGGGGCTATTTACGCGGCGAGAACTGCAGAGGGTTGCGGAGTAAAGAGGTCGGTAGCGTGAAAGGGAAAGAGAACCCCTATTATTATTTTAAGTGGGGAGGGTCGAGTTTGCTTTTTAGAGCGCCTTAAATTGCGAGGGGGGTCGCTGCCTGTTTGTGTGTGTGTTGTTTTTTTTATTTGCTGCTGTTTTTACAGGGGGGAGGGGGCACAGTTGTTGCCGAGTTGCGCAAAGGGAGGTTGTTTTGATGATGACCCTTCGAAGAGGTTATATATTGGAATCTCGTTGCATCAGCCGAAGGGAGGGGGGGGCAGAAAGGCGCGCCTGTTGGGTCTGAAAAACAAAATCTGGGCTGGGGAGGAGCGGGGCGGCGGTGCCTCCTGCCCTGGGCGCAAGCAAGCAAGCAAGCAAGCCGGGCGCTGCGGAGGGGAAGGAAGGAGACGCTCAGACGAGGAGGGAGAGCTCTGAGCACACACACACACACACACACACACCCCTCGCTCAACTGTTGCGGTCCCTTGACGTCTTGGGGCGCCGGAGATCTCGCTCCGTCGGGTCGTCCTCGGGCGAGAGAGCCCCGCTTCCCTCTCACAAGAGGGGTCACGGCGAAGCAATTTATGCGGGTTGCTCGCACTCCCCGTCCTTAAAAGTTTCGAGTAAAGGGCAGTTTCTGGTTGCGACAGCCTGGCTTCGCATCGACTCGATTGCGGGTGACTCGAAACAGGCAGGGAGGCGGCAGCGACTCGTTAGGGGAACCTCCGAAGTTCCTGCGGGCATCTCTCCTTGTTTTCACTAACAGGTCCAGGCATGTCCTCGCCGCTCAGCCTTTCCCCTCAGGTTAGCGCTCCTCCCCAAGAGTTTGACTACACTTTCCATTATCCTCTCATTAGGCTCTGCTCTATAGAGCCCTTGCGTTGTGGGACTCCTGCCACAGGCAAATCAGGCTGGCTGCAACCCTCTCCTGAGTTTGTTTATGGTGATCAGCCAAAATTTGTATTCTGAGTGGCCTTTGGTTTTTTTGTTTTTTAAAAAAAGTGTTTAAAACGGTTTTTAGTACACTCTTAAAAGAATGTTTCAAAATATGTCTTATTATGGAGACCCTGGAGGCCAACAAGGCAGCTGATAAATATTTTAGATAAACAAATAAACTTGTCGTCATTAGTTTAGGGGAGAATGCATGAACTTCTTTGTCTGCAGCACTGCAGTGAAGACTTTGCTCAGGACCTGAGTTTAATCCCAGTCTCAGGTAGCAGGCTCAAGGTTGCTGGCCATCTAAGATGCCGCCGCCACGTCCACCTTCTCTATTGAGGATGGCCGGTCTTTCATCCCTGCTTGGAGATTGCCTCTTCTGATATTCTGCTGATATTCTGCATTAGTTTCAGGGTGTACTAAGAAAATGTTCCTGGTGGTATCCTGGATTCACACTGTTAGGACTTCAAAGCTAAACCTCATTGTGAAGCAAATTAGGGGCCGGGGCAATTATTTCAGGATGGGTGGTTGATGTCCTTTTAAAGATCCCTCTGTGGCAGGATTTGGCAGCTTCCAGATATGACTGCAGTTCCTGTAATCCTTCACCACTGGCTATATTGGCTACAGCCTCGGTAAATTGTTAGTCAAAAAACACCCAGAGAGCCAGAACTCCACTTAATGGCCGCATATGCTATGAGGAGGATAGTCCCGGGAAGTCATCTACCCTTCTCCCCTAACCTCTTGTGGTCCTGATAAAACCCCAGCACCTGAACCCCAAATGGGAGCAGAAAAAAGGCACCAGGTAGATGAGAGGAGCTGGGGTCAACAGGCCACCCCTAGGCAAGAAGGCATGGACAGAATCCAGCTGGCAAAAGCCAGGTATAAGGGAGGGAGAGGGAGAAGAGGGAAGCCACCAGCCCTCAACCCATTATTGTTCTGTATTCTCTTACATTAATAAAATCCAGTTCCAAAAGCTCAAAGTGTCTTGAGTTCAGGGAAGCCACTGCAGAAGAGGGTCTCCCCATCATCCCCACTCAGGGAGAGGGGTGAGGGAACTCCTGTTTTTATAGAACAGGGAAGGAAAGTACGTTTTTAATTACTGCTGTCGGTATGTGGGATATTTTGCAGAGTAGAAGAGAACAGGTTTTTAGCCCCGAGGAGAGTACAGAGTCACAAGAGGAAGGAGTAACACAACTGTTTCAGGGAAAAATATCACCACTGCACATTTGAGTGCATATAGGCAAATAAATCCTCTGTCTTGCTTGAGTGGAATAAAATATCATCACAGCTTCTTATTTTCTTCATTCCTGAACTGTAGTGTTCCCTTTTTGTTTTCCTTTGTATCCTACAGAGAGCTACATAGGATCTGAGTTTCTGCATTTTTTTTTTTACTAGTTGAAATGGCACAGCGGGCAATGTCTCATGCAGCTTTCCCCCAGCTTGGTGCCCTCTAAGTGTGCCAGACTACAACTCCCATTGCCCTGAGACGGCATCAGTGGGGATGACAGGGACTCTGATTCAGCATATCACCAAAGTCCCATGTTGAAGAAGAAAAAAATAGGGGGAAAAAACGAACGAACACCCCTCTGTTCGAAACATGGTACAGTATAATTGCCTGATTGCATGCAGTTCAGGGAGTTTTTCTAACTCATAAACAAAAGATGGGGTGAAGCTGGCAGGTGTCATAGGTGGGTGTGTAAACATATACATAATTCAGTCAATACAGGGAGGCACAAACTACGTGAAGAGATGAGTGGAGGATGGAAGCCAGTAATGAGGAGATCCGTGTTTCTGTAGAAGCAGTTTTGTGTGTGCCGTCTAAAGACAGAAGACAGATGGCTCACACCCCCACAGAGGCAGCAAACTCTGTTGGCTCCTAATTCTGTTATATCTCTGTATTGTACTTGTAAGGCTCAGTAGCTTTACACGATAAGCACTAGTATTAATGGTGCCAGAGAGAGATTGGCATTGTCGTCTTCCTTTATCTCTGTTTACCTTGGAGGTGCTGTGATCACACTGAACCTCGTTGATATGGTAGGCCAGTGGTTCTGATCACTCGCCTTTCTAGATGTTTACGTCCAAAATCTGGAAGGTTAAAGGTTGAGAACCACTGCTTCGGTTCTTGATGCAGGTCCAAGTTCACTTTCAGCCCTTGGTATGGCCGTGGTTTGACACAACTCAATAATTCCTGAAATGAGGGTTCTTGAGTTGTGTCGGGCCATGGCTTTCACCTCGCCAGCTAGCAGCTCAAGGACATTGGCCAGTGAGGAATAGCACTACTTAGAATGTCATGATCTTGGCCTCCTAAATAATGGAAGCCAGGGAATACTCATTCATCCTGCACGCTCCCAAACTTGCTGCCTGCCTAGCACAGCCCACTGTCTGGGCCACTTAAAACTGGAATTCCTCCGGTACATCTTCCCAAAGAGTAGCCATGTTCATCTGTCTTCATATGCTGGCAAAACGGGGGGAGAGATCCTCCCAAAGAAACACTTTGTCATAAGATTAACATTTTGGTGTGGGCTCAGTATTTTCCCCTCCTTCCCCCCCCCCCGATAGGCCTGAAATGAGGCACATGGGTGGCCATGGTTCAGCGGTGGACTCGTCACTATGTTAAACCACCCTAATGAGTAAGTGGACATGAAATGTTCCCTATTTCAGAAAGAATGAGGAACTTGTGGTTTAAAGAGATTAGCCTGTCAGTGCTTCCTGAGCAGTGTTTACTTCTTGAACATGTCTACAGGTGACTTATTGGGTAGCAGTGGTTGTCAACCTTGAGTCCCCAGAGATTCTTGGATGTCAGATGGTAGAAGCCACTGTGGCCAAAGCTCTAGGATTCTAGGACTTGTCCAAGAACATCTAAGGACTCAAGTTTTGGAATCTCTGCTGTACAAGGATGGATATCTGACCCTCCTCATATTTCAACCAGTTGTTTGTTAAAAGGTTGAACTGTTGGTTTTCCAATAGACTTTTTTTATCTGAGATGTTTGTTTGATCAAAGTTATCCCCTTGAACTGGTTATCGGCATGCCTTTGGGACCAATGTAATCATTAAGACACTGTTGTTATTTGCTGTCAAGTCACCTCCGACTTGTGGTGAGCCATTTCCAAAATGTCCTGTTGTAAACTAAAGGCTGTAGCTTATTTTAGGGAGTAAAACCATCTTGTATTCAATCTTCCCTTTCTCCTACTGCCTTCAACCTTTCCTGACATTATTCTCTTTTCCAGAAAATCTTGCCTTCTCATAATGTGCCCAAAGTAGGATGATCTCAATTTAATTTTTATTTCTTATGTTTTTTTGTTTTTTGTTTTGCTTCCAGAGATAGTTGAGGCTTGATTAGCTCTAGGATGCACTTGTTTGTTTTTCTGGCAGTCCAGAGTATCAGCAAAGCTCTCATGCAGTGCTGTATTTCAAACAGATCAATTTTGTTTTCTTGTAACCTCTCTTTACTGTCTTGGTTTTACACCCGTACATTACACAGTGACTGGAAGCCAGGGTGGGTAAAAATAATTTTTAAAAAAAATCAAATTAATTTAAGTCACAATTTAAATCATGGTTTAAATTACAATCTGAATTTTTAATTGTATATTGTGATTTAAATCAAATCCACCCTGTTGGAAATACAAGAGTGTGTGTAATCTTAAACTTGGTCTCTATTGACATACCTTGACACCTGATGATCTTTTCTAATTCCTTCACTGCTGCCCTTTTAAGTCTCAGTCTTCCTGTGATTTCTTGACTGCAGTCATCATTTGGATTACTGGCTGATTAATGATTGAACCAAGGTATACAAAAGCTTTCACCATTCCAGTTTCTTCATTGAAGTTGTGTCCCAACTAGAATAAACTTCTTTGACTCAGTTGAGCTTATGAAAGAATTGACTCACAATGCCCCTACTTATTCAGTGGACCTACTCTAGTGCAACTTAGTGCACTAAGAAAGAGGAATGTAGAGTCCAACTTAAGTTGCACTGGCAACTTGACTTGGGTTTTTGTGGGGTTTTTATTTTAAAGATTCGGAGCTGAGTTGCGATTCAGACCAATTTTTCCAAGTCATGTTGTTTAGTCCCTGTTAAGGATGG